CCTCACGAACTATTGAAATGGAGACCCGCTGACCAACAAGTAATGAGTCTACCCACACCTGATGTCACTCCTGCGTCATCACCACTTAAGGTAAGTTACACTTAGGGCCTGATTATATGGAGGCGAGTTGGCCTGGATAGCGAGCTAGCCCAATGATTTCAAGGGAGTGAAAAGAGCCAAAACGTCAAGGTTTAAAATTACAACTGTTTGCGAAGTGCCACACGCCATTCCGTTTGTAATTCTTAAATCAAGGCAAATTGGTTGTTTTAATTTTAAATGTTTTGCGTAGTTATTAACTCAGAATATTGTGAAATTGCTTGAGAAGATTTATCTGATAATAAGTATTGAATCGTTTCCATTTGCCAAAATGATTTAACATTTGGTTAATCCCGGCTACCGGGATCATGTAATCCGCCCTTTTGTATTTTTTATGATCTCTTAAAGCCCGACAGTCTAAAATTATAGACAAATTTTCAAAACTATTCTGTTTGTTTTATGTATTTATTACCCTTAAAATTGACGTATATTGTAGATAATGTCACCTGTTGACCTGGAGGATGATATCGTGCCTAAATATCCGGAAGGTAAATAAAAAGTTTGTGAATTCTTTTAAAGGAAAATTTTTGCTTCAATTGTCTCCATAATTATAAGATTGGAAAATATTTCATGGTAAGCTAAAGCTCGCATAATAAAAAAGCTCATTTGAACCAAAAGCTCATATGAAGCAAAAGTTCGCATATTGCAATATAGCTCGTGTGAATCTTTAACTCGTATGGACCAACAACTTGCATTCTTTGAGTAACAAGTGAAAATTTTCCGTATTATTTTTCAGTCGAGGACGAACAAGATGGTCAGCAATCGTCAAAAGGTTTGAATGAAACGGAGGAGGAAATGCCTCAAGAAACAGTTGAAGAAACCAAAGAACAAGACAGCATTAGTTTACATAGTGCGCCTAGTTTACGATTCGAACCTGTCGAAGAACACGAACCAGGTAACTATGTGTTAGAAATCAATTGAGATTAATAATTTGTTGTCACAGCCTGCTGCCATTTACGTGTTTAATTTACTTTCGTTTGTTAGAAAAGCCTAGCAAAACGTATAATTGATTTATGCGTTTGAAAATCTTCTAGTAAGATAAATTAGCCCTTTATTTGGCATATTTTTGCCGACAAATGAAAAAATCGTCTGAGCGTGAATACGGAAATGTTCAACCAACACCCGAGTGACATTTTTAATTTTTTCATGTATGTACTTTAACGTCGTAAAATCATCTCATTATTTTAGTTGTGCAGAAGGAGAGGATGTTGTTCAATTCATTGATCATTAAGTGTGTCGTTCAATTGGAACTTATCCAAATGATCGACAATGTCGTCTTTTTCTCAAGCACCAGCAAGCGACAAGATGAAGGTACTATGGCTGAATTACAGGTCAGTTGTATTTACGGTCATTGTAGGTAATACTGAGATAAATCGCTTTGTCGTAATGTTGTTATACCAGAGTTTCCCTTGGTGGCATAACAAAGTTCTTAGCTGAAGCACAGAAATGTAATATACAGAAAGGTCACTTGTGTCTAAACCTTTGATGTTTTTGTCCTCAAGCATATTGTGCCGCGCATATCGACTGCCATTATTCCAGCAAGATATTTAGGGCTTATCACTTGTTTCCAAACATTAAAATGAAACGACGTCATTTCTTATATTGAAATATTTTTAATTTCATTACGAAGAAATGACGTCATGTAATTGTAGTGGTTGGAAACAAATGAAAAACCCTAAATATATCTTGCTGGAATAATGGCGGCCATGAGGACGCAGTGCACACTTGAGTGGCCCTTCTGTATAATTATTATTCTGTGGTTGTAGGGGTGGGGTGGTCACAAAGTCATATATGCATCTCTTAATCTGTAAAGAACAATTGATTTCACTGGAAGTTAATACAGCAAAACATGAATATGTGAACCTCCCTATTTATCGAGTTCACAACTGGTTCCTCCTTCTTTAGACACGTAAAAATTTCAATAACTATCTTCAAGAGACTTTATACAATAAACTTTTTCCTTGGGTTGAATTCCTTAAAGTTCCTTATGTGTTGTATGCAGGCTTGTAAGATCCTCTTTCACCTGATTGGTCAAACTGATTCTCTAAATCACCTGCAATTGTGTAGTAAATCCTCTTTCACCTGATTGGTCAAACTGATTCGCAAAATCGCCGGCATTGGTGTAAAAATAGCCAAATTGCAAATTTTACGAATTTTACTTTCCTTCGCGAATTACCAAAAGAAATCATAGAACTGAACTATGTGATAACTGGAGTGCTATCGTGATGATTACACTATTATATTACACTATTTATATACATAATGGCAGTCGGGCTATTTAGTTAAAAAATAGCCATTTGAATACCATATGTAGCTACAACCGTGTTTTTCCATAGAGTGATTGTAAACCATAATCCAATCAAATGCGTTCTTTGAGAGTTTTGCATCTTGGTTTTTGATGTTTATTTACCCAGAGCTGAGCTTTCATACAATTTCATGTTTTGACATTGTTATAAGTAGCAACGATACACTGTAGTCAGAGTTGTTTACTTTTAATAATCGTACATGTCTCATTATGATTGGTGACTTAGTTTTTCATTGTTTCAGGGTCTCAACACTCCTCGACGAACCGCTAAAGGAAAACACGACGGACTGTTTCCACATCTTACCTCTAACCAGCTGTTTTTGTTTTGGGAAGTGCTGGAGAACTCGTATAAGTTTGCTTAAAGCTTCAATTGTAACAACGAGCTGAGGACGGCGCTTTGGAATGCTGGTAAACGTTTCATTAATATATTGTAGCATTTGACACGAGCGACACATTTTTGTACAGTTTCTATTTGAATTGAAAATTAATACACGAGTAAAAACATCACATTCAAAACGTTCAAGGAAAAAGGCAAATTTGTGGCTGTCTTTCCTATTAGGGCACTCACTCCAAAAGCTGTGCATGTCCGTATACCTAGACACCCACATGCAGCGTGACCAAGTTTCTTTACCAGATTTGGTCGTATGAGCTTAAACTCTCCTCCCCCCCTTTTCTTAATGTTGCATCTACATAAAACAGGTGGGAAATTCTAAGGTCATTAGACCAAGTCTTGTGAAAGTAAAAAACATTTGCTTTTATGGTTACACTGCACGCATAGTTTTTTCTGATAAATAAAGATTGAGGACACACAAGTGATGATGATGATGATGATGAAACTTTATTAAAAGAAGGTAAACACGTGACACAACAAGTGTGAAAAACTTGTGGCCCTCAAACTAACAAACTACGAAATCAATTACAATTTAAAAACCAGAATTACACAAGACTAAAAATACTAAAAAAACTAAATAATAAATTATTCTGTCAGCATATCTGAATTAGCTTTATCATAAAGTTTCTTTTTAAAAAGTGAAGCTGATGAAAGTTTACGAATAGTAAGAGGTAGACTGTTCCAAAATCGAGTTGCAGTAGCAGCAAAAGATCTCCCACCATCATTTTGTCTCTTTATTTTGGGTAAACAAATAGTTAAGTCTTTATAACGAGTATTTCTATTGTGGCGACTGGCATTTGTTGGTAGAATATCAATAATATAAGATGGAAATTTACCATAGAAACGTTTATGACAAATCATGGCCTATCTAATTTCCACTTCCTTACTAAAAGGTATCCAGCCCAATTTTGAAAAGAGTAGAAAACTTCTATCGCGTGTTGAGGCATCTAGAATTACGCGAGCTGCTCTCTTTTGTAATTTTGTAATTTGATCAAAGTTATCTTTTGTTGTATTTTGACCAAACACAGCTACCAAACATCATAGCAGATTTAATAGTGGCATTATAAAACGCAATGCGCCCATCCAATGGTAGATAATATCTTAACTTTTTAAAATGGCCAATTCGTTTAGCTAATTTGGAACATAGCTTATCAATATGATTTGAAAAACTTAGGTCTTTATCTAAAATTATTCCCAGAAGCTTCTGGTGGGAAACCTGCTCTAACATATTCCCATTAATATTAACACACAATAATGTAGATGAATTTACCAGTTTCTTTGCAATTCTTTTACTAGTGATAAGCATAGTTTTTGATTTTGTAGAGTTAAGCACCATTAAATTTTTATTTGCCCACGAGTTCAAATTAGTTGTATCCTCTTGTAATATGCGTTCAATAGAGGAAACATCTGAGTAATGATTAGATTTAATAAGAGTGGTATCGTCAGCAAAAATATTCGTTGAGGCGTTTTTTATCGATTTAGGCAAATCATTAATAAATATGATAAACAACAGGGGGCCCAAGACTGAACCCTGTGGTATACCACGATCAATAATAGTTGTAGTAGAGGAGACGCCATTCACTGACACGTATTGATACCTGTTTGACAAATATGAGTTGAACCATTTGATGGAATCAGTGCTAAGACCACAGGCTTTAAGTTTACCCAAAAGTAGTTTATGATTCACCATATCAAATGCTTTTTTAAAATCACCAAACAGCAAGCCACTAGGATTGTCATTATCAAGATCAGATAATATCTGATCAACAATTTTAATAAGAGCCGTTTCAGTAGAATAGCCATTCCTAAAGCCAGATTGAAGAACATAAAACATGTCGTTGGATTGAAATTCGCGAACCAAACAATTATATACATGACGTTCAAGAACTTTGGAAATTATTGGTAGCGTAGAAATAGGTCGATAATTATCTGGATCTGTAGAATTTCCATTTTTAAACAGGGGAAAAACTTTGGCTGTTTTCTATGACTGTGGAAATTGACACGAAGTAATACAATGATTGAAAAGCTTTGAAAACGACGATGAAATAATTGGGGCAGCAGTCTTCAAGATCTTTACACTAATATTGTCTGGACCATTTGCTTTTGATGAGGGAATATCTTGAATTATTTGAATAACCTGCTCAGCACTTATTTCAGGAATATCTAAACTCAAATTGCCAAAAGATAAAAAATCGTTATCATTTATAACAGTGGTATCATCTAAAAGATTAGAAGCCACATTTGCAAAGTGCAGATTAAACGCTTCAGCAATTTCTTTGTTATGATGGAAAAGAGATCCATTAAATAAATTCCTTCACTTGAACGGGATCATTTGTATCACCAGAAAGAGATTTGAGTATTTTCCAAAGCTTCTTAGGATTTTTACGATTTTCAATAAGAGATGACTTGAAATAGACTTGTTTGGCTTTAAATACTGAATGATTGATTTTATTTCTAATTTTTCTAATTGACTCCCAGTCTTCATGGGAACGAGAGGATTTCGCTTTTTTGAGAAGCATATCTCTTTTTCTCATCATTGAAGATATATCATCAGTAAGCCATTTAGGCTTATTCACCTTTTTAATGCGCTTAGAAATTAATGGGGCATGTTGATCAAGTATATTATTGAAGAGAGAGTACCACATAATTACAATGTCCTCAATATCATCGAAGATAAATGATGTATCCCAAGGAACATTTTGCAAAGAACTCCGAAACTTTTCTTTATCAAAGTTTTTCATATCGCGATAAGCCATAACAGTATGCGTTTGCATAAATTTCCCACAAATTTTTTTAAAACGACGCAAGCAACATACAGATAAATGATCAGAAATAAAGATATCAGCAGTCGAGCAATGAGATAAAAATTCGGGTCTATTTGACCAAATATGATCGAGTACTTTACCACTGATTGGACATGTAGCATCGATAATATGTTGTTGAAAAGATAAGGATAACAAACACTTAACCAAGCGATGATGCTTGGAATAAGTGTCAAGATAATCGATATTAAAGTCCCCAAGGATTAACGTTTCTTTACCTTGCATGGAAGCATTTTCGATATTCATACCCAATCGAACATCGTAATTTTTGTCGGAGTTTGGTGGACGATAAATGCCACCTATAATGAGACTTCTCTTCGACTTAAATGGGCACAATTCCATCCATAAAACTTCCAACTTGATTGTTTCCAAGTCATGTCCTCTTTTAGCAATTAAATCACGATTAACATATATAGCAATACCACCACCATTGAAAGTTTTCGAAGTACTATTCCGATTCCTTATATATAAGTCAAAGCCAGGTATATTAAACAATTCAGTAGAGGTTTGTATATTCAAAAACGTTTTATTTATAATCAAAATATCCAGACGTTTCTCGTTATAGTCATGGCCAAGGATTTCAATTTGCACTTGTTCAAACTTTGTTTCATTCAAACCGTTTATATTCCATTGGCCTATCCGAAGGCCACGACTTGGTACACTAAAACAACTATTTCCTTGCGGGGAAGACACAAGATTTTCTGCAGGAACCGGACCTGGATTTAAATGAATGTCGCCATCCAATGCCAGTAATAAATAGCGATGAAGCAAAGATAATATTACAGACGCCATTGCTTGTTTAGACATCACCACAATTGCACAGCCAAATTGAAAGTTACTTGATTTACTTGATTTGTTCGGCGTAAGGAGCGACACTTTATTCTTCATATTTATAAAACAGGTTTGAGAATGCGATTTTGCCACATAAAAATAGTTTAAACAACGATCACTACTGTTATCCAGTATTTGATGAATAAAAATATCTTTAAAAATTAAACACCAAATCAAAATAAATAAAACTGAGATGTAACTACACGAAACACGTCTAGTCGCCATATTGGAGATACATTGTTTCTGCTAGGATATATCTATTGGACAAACAGAGAAATGCTTAAATTGCTCAGTGGAGATTCCAATGAATTCAATCCGGAATCATATGAAAACTTGAGGCAGTACAATGAAGAAGATAGATTAATATCATGATGAACATCGACATTTAAAAGTTCTTTTGCGTTTGAGATTAACTGCAGAACAGCCTCTTCAAGCTCGAACACTTCAGTAAATCGCAACGTAGTATGGTAAAGGGAATCAATACGAAAAACGCAAAAATCCCGATCTGGACTTAATTCGAGGTCAGCATTACAACCCAAAATAGAGTTGCGAAGGAGTCTTACAAAGTGTAACCTGTCTGCCATGTTTTAGGGTTGTAGACCATTGAGTTCTATAAAACCTGGAGGGGAACTGTCAAAGTGCTGAAGAACATTCATCTGATGATAAGTATTAAATCTTTTCCATTTGCCAAAATCATTTAACGCTTGGCTGAATCCGGCTACCGGGATCATGTAAACAGCCCCTAAATTTTCTCCTATTGTAACTGAACACCTGTATATATATATATATATATATATATATACAAACCGTACGTCCTGTATCCCAAGTGCAGGAGTCACCATTTTAATATGGTGATAGCCGTGATGGCACATTGTATATACACTTTGTTTATATAAAAACTATGTATATATATGTACAATTAACTGGCAACTTCTAACTATGTCATTTTTTCTGATGATGTTTTTAAATAGAACCAAAATATTGCTGCGTAATTATTTGTTTTATAACTTTGTGGTTACATTATGAGTTACACTAGGTTACACTATTTGAGGTTACAAGATGCCTTTTACGGATTATGGTTATTATTAACTTTTTGGTTCCAATCAGTTTTATGTCTCTTTCCACCATTTTATCATATATATAGTTGTCCAAACTCTTAGGCTCCATATTCAGGTCATTTATGTCTTAAGAGTTGGAGCTGCTAGTACCAACATATTTAGTGTTTGTATTCGATAAAAATGGCACAGGTTTTAGCCACACTAACTTTTTCGTCCTCTCTTAGCTTATGGACAGACCTTTTGTGTTCACTATTCAATAAAAACACGATTCAATTAGCAAAATTTTCATTTTGTGGCAACTTATTAAAGTGCCATAGTCACGTTTGCTGCTGTGGAGGTTTCAAATTGACGTAAGTTTCTATGAAGGAAACAAATGTTTCCGCTTGGTGTACTTTGCAAGATTTGCCGATGTTCAATTAAGAAATAAAAGATGTTTATTGTGGAAATATTAAAACCGAGGAGACCTTTGGGAGTACTCGAAAGAAGATCAGGCAAAAACATCTTTACATTTCTTATATAAAATAACAATAATGTAAAAAAAATAAATTCAAAGCAAAGGTTTTAATATTTCCTATAACATGTATTCATGATTGATTAGCAAATACTCTTTGATGGATTTAATTGATGAGGCTCAGCTATCAACCAATCAACGCAGGCGTTTTATTGTTTTTATTTTATATAATGCAAATTGAGTTGTCAGTTGTCATTCGGGGAAGAAAAGAATACGAACTTGATTTATTTCTTCCACTATTATATTAAAGTGAAATGAATAAGGAGTGTTTCGAGGAGAACACACTGAAAACTAAGATGGAAACCATGTTGACGTAATTTCTTATTATAGAATATAAGATTTTTAGATGAATTTTCAGGCTTGCGATAGCTAGTTCTTGTGGAAACGACCGCATGTAGTGATCCTAACATTACGAATAATTTATCTATGTAAAAGTTTTATCTTAACTTGACATTCATCACTTGCAGACTATTAGAGAGGACATAAATTCGAGAGCTTAGATCAAATGGGTGAACTACAAATGTAAAAACCGCTGCCCATTTACTGAAATTCACTGTTTTAAATTAAAAAAAATTCTTGCATGGTAGCAACAGTTGGTGGTAGCATAACTAATTATTTGCCAACAAATAAGATTCGTTCAATTTCATCAACATTCTTTCTATCTTAGCAACCTCCAGTGTTTGGCTGCGACTCTACGTCTGCTACGATAAGGAGCTTCACAAATTCTAAAAGCAATCGCATTGAAACAGATAGCATCACCTTTCTCGAGAATTTTTACGATATATTGGCAAATTTCTGATTTGAACAAGCTCTTCACTCCTCTCGACACAGGTATGCCTGATTTAAACAAATTTTGCCATATATAAGTAGAGAAGTTTGTTCAAAGAACAAATCTTTTTAATTGTTTGGTTTCTGATGTCTGATAAAATGAGTAACAAAGCGTTCAAAAATATACTGGCGGTATTGCAAAAGTGATTCTTGTTGCTCTTATGATAGCTACTAAGTTCGTCTATTCTCACAGGATAAGATTCGCACCGTTTTAAATGTCACTATTTTTAGACATGGGATTTCTTGAGAAAAACTGCTGTGATGTGAGTCATAAAAGGTCCCTGTTAGTGTTATATATTTTCTATCAACCGAAACTTGTACTTAACCTTCTAAGGGCCATATGTAGTGAAATGCATCATAATATAACTACTCCATGCGGTCTACGTTAAAGAACTCGAGATTGACAAACTTTTAGGCGGACACACATAATGTGTGTAGCATCGTTTTATGACTCTCTTGTGGCCAGATGTTATCTCAATTCACTTTCGTTTCGTAGTTATTGCTCGCACAAGTAATGGCCTTTAAAGACAGTTTTTCATTACGGTCGCTTCTCCCACGAGTGTGAAATCTGTTTTATGAGAGCGTTGGCCGCCCGCTGGATTTTATTTCCATTATTTTCGCCAGAGATGGCGGGAAATTTAAGCAAAACATGGCGGTTCTAAATAATCGACGACGACTTTTTCTGCTAATTCTTTTAAGACGAAGATTAAGAAAACAAAAATACAAGAAAAGATTTTGGGTAAGGAATATATTACAAAAAAGGAAAAAAAAAGGAGAATACCATACTCTAGTTGAAGAAGCTATGCTATATGACAAAGAATTTTTTTTCGTTTGTTTCGTATGACTCTTTTCAAGTTTGAAGAATTACTGACCTTGGTTGCACCAAAAATAACACGCTGGCATGCAAGAAAAGAAGCTATTGGACCTGCAGAAAGGCTTTGCGTCACTTTAAAATATTTGGAGACGCCTTTAGAACTATTGCAGCAAGTTACCGTGTAAGTGATACTGTTGCGGGACGAATTATAGGGGAGACTTGTAAAGCTTTGTGGATTGTTATGGCAGAAAATGTTTTTTTATCTGTTCCGAGTTCGTCTAAAGAATGGCTAGATATAAGTCAAGACTTTGAAAGAAGGTGGAATTTCCCGAACTGCGTTGCAGCGATTGACGGTAAGCATATCATTATCTAGTGTCCTTCACGAGCAGGATCTATGTTTTTTAACTACAAGAAGTTCCACAGTGTTGTCCTGATGGCATTTGTGAAAAAAAAATATCAATTTACGATAGTTGATGTAGGCGACTATGGACGTCTAAGTGACGGTAGCGTTTTTCAAGTAGCCAACTTGGTATTGCTATGGAACAGATCAAATGAAACCTTCCACACTCAAGACTGCTACCTGGGACCAATATTAGTGTATCATTTGTGTTTGTTGGAGACGTTGCTTTCCCTTTTAAAAATTATTTAATAAAACCCTATCCGAGGTAGAGATCCAGATCCCCGAGAGAATTGCAAATTACTGGTTCTCCCGTGCAAGAAGAATTGTAGAAAATGCCTTTGGCATTGCCACCTCACGATTCAGACTTTTCAGACGAGCAATTACGGCAGATGTTGACGTTGCAGTGCAAGCTACAAAAGCAATTGTAGCTCTTCATAACTACCTTATGGCTGACAGTTGTATTCCAAGTAATCCATATTGTCCACCTGACTTTATTGACCGTGACTGCAATGGCTCACTTAAACTAGATGGGTGGAGAAGAGAGAATGTCAATAATGGCGGAATTCAGGATGTAACACATATTTGATCCAATAACTATTCAATGCCATCAAAAAATATCAGAGACTGTTTTAGAGATTATTTCAACTCAACAATAGGTTCTGTGCCATGGCAAGTATGGGAAACTATTGAAAACTTGAAGGCTGTTCAATGAAGAAGATGGATTAATATCATGATGAACATCGACATTTAAAAGTTCTTTTGCGTTTGAGATTAACTGCAGAACAGCCTCTTCAAGCTCGAATACTTCAGCAAATAGCAACGTAGTATGGTAAAGAGAATCAATACGAAAAACGCAAAAATCCCGATCTGGACTTCCTTCGAGGTCAGCAATACAACCCAAAATCGAGTTGCGAAGGATTCTTACAAAGTATAACCTGTCTGCCATGTTTTAGGGTTGTAGACTTGTAGGTAAAACAACTGGTTTATTTTGTTTTCATTATTAACGCACAAAGAAAATAAATTATAAACAAATTATAATGTGATTGAGTAAAATTTGGTGTTTTGCGAATCACTAATAATGTTACGTCATCATAATGGAATGTTCAACAACAAAATGAGTTTTAACAGAAATTGTACAGGAAAAAAATTCGATTATGAAATTCCAGAATGGAATATGATCAAGACAAAATGCACATTGCATAGGAGAAAATGCGAATTAGTAATTGAAAATATAGCAATTAATTTTGGGGAGATCACCCTCCATAAGTTTGTGATAGAGCTTTTTGTTATCATATCTTTATAAAAACAAGTCCTGTCCAAGTTTCCACATCATTGCCTAGAAGTCAATCATCTTTAGAAAATGAGTTGATGTAACTAAATTTCTCACGCACAATTCACCACGACACGATGTCCTTTGGCGTAATTTTATTTATTATAATTATCCGACAGCCGATAAATATATATATAAAGCCGTCAATGTGTCCGTGAAAATGCAAAGCCATACGGCTTCAGTTTATCTTACCCGTCGGCTTCAGTTTATCTTACCAGGTGTATTTAGGGCGTGGATTCAAATACTTTCTTCTTATTAGTCTGTTTGCTCGTCGAGGTCTCGTTGCTTCAAGGTCAATTTCTTTGAGCATTGTTTGAAAAGTCAAATAACGTACTAGCACGTTATACTTAGATTGCAAAAGCCTCCAAATACCTCTATATCCAAGCATAATACCGCATTCATTGAGTTCTCGTAAAATATATTGTCTGATACGATCTTCATTAACAACATTCCTGCGTCAACGCAACACGTACAGTTTCAACTTATTTAAAAGAACACTACTTGAATTAGAAGTGCTATGGAATTTATGGAGTAAACTCAAAATAGTTTACTTCTGGTTACGTTCGTGTATTTCTGTTTGTGTTGTGCTTCTGTGCATGCATAAAATAACCTTTTATAAAGTTAAGTAATGGAAGCTGTTGTTTTTATGCAGTAAATGACCGTAGCATGTTGAAATTTAGCAAATATGGAAGGAAGTTTGAAAACGTGATACTCTATCGTTAGAGATTAGACTTTAAATTGGTATTGGTGAAACATAGTGTGTCTTTGTCGTAGACTCGTAGTGCAAAACTTTGTTACTAACCAATGCTAACTCACGGTTACGTATTAGCAACAATGAGATGGATGTTAGTAACGTTAGTAACGTAAAGTTTTGAAAAAGTAACAAATGTTTAATTTATGCACGCCGCATGATCAATTACTAATGAATGAGTTAGTGGTCAAGAACTACTTGTATAAGAGTTTGTATGCACTTCGTTTGCCAGAAGTAATTTCAACTTGAAGTTGTAAAATGACCACGACAAACAACATGATACATGTGCCAATTCTTCAATCAAGGACGAAAATCCTAAAATGGACACCCCACTAAAATTGCAATGTCAACATAGTTTTAACTTTCAAAAACAAAAAGAAATGACTTTTCTGAAGTTCTTGACATGTTTAGAAGGTTCACTTTAGGGGTGGACATGGGAGGAAAAACTTTGCATAACATCAATATTTACTGAGAAAATTACTATGTACCATCTCAAGTCAAATATAAAGTTTACATAAAGTAACCAATATTCTAGTGGTGCCACTCCATTGAATTTTTCGTGCCACGCATATCTTATTACGCATGTGATTACCCTATTGGCAGCCTTTAAATTTCATTGTGTGAAAATTAGGATTGACAATATGGCAAACGGCAGCCAGTAAACTAACAGCCTGTTCACATGAACCCTGTAACAGCGATTCAGCGAGGCGTAAAATGATTTTAAGTCATTAAAAAGAGTTAAAGCTTTAAGCGCAAAGGAAGAATAGCATGGTTGTATTTTCTACACTAAGGACGCTAAATTTTTTTTATAAATTATAATTGCGTGCAGTTGATGTTTGCCATTTATTCATAATTTACAATGGTTTATTCAATAACAAAGGTTTTTTATAATAAGAACTGACTTATGAAATGAAAATTCATTTAGAGTATCAAAAATTGTGTCGTAATCATTGACATTCCATACCTGTCTTAGATAGGTGATTCTCTATTCACGAGTTAAAACTTGTGAAACTTTCTAAGATATAGCAGCAGTCCTTTGGAATTTGACTAATCTCAATGTTATCATGTACTCTGCATGAGGTTCTTATTTATGTATTTTTATTTCTATAACACTTGTTTTTGTCAGTGATGTATACTTAGTTATAGAATAATACTGTTTGTTAAAGGAGATCCTGACTAACTCTTCATCTTCGTTCGTTATTTAAATGTGTTTATGTAACAAAACTCATATGGATAAAAAGTTGATTTTTCAATAATGTATGAATTAATTATGATCACCATTTTTTAACTGATATGTAGTCGCGTTTTTTATATTAAATTTCTCATCTTTTGTTAGGTACGTAACATGTAAAGAACTAAAGCAAGCATAATTTTGTCCACACGATCGTCGTATATGAAGTCTTATTTTTAAAACGAAGGTAATTTTACGTAAGTTAACCGAGATTTTGTATTTACATTTCTAACTTAGCGAATTTGATACCAAAGCATTGCGTAGTATGAAGTATGACTATAAACAAATCAATGTTTATTTCCATTCCAAATGAAAATCGTTTGAATGATTTTATATGTGACTTTTAAAGCTATATTTAATACCACGACTGGAAAGTAGGTTTCATTTTTGTTTCAAATTATCCACTATAAAAATTGCGGCTTTTACACGAAGAAAAGGTTTGATAATAAATAATTCTGAGTCAGTGATGCGGTTGACATTTTACAGATGCTATGTCATAATGAGTAGTATAGAGACCACCGGTTCTGGCGCACTTCACCCCCTGACAGTCTGCATACCCAAATCTAAGCGCCCCAGCCCTAGTTCTCTTACACAGTACGAAGTACTGTGTATACATGTGTCCCGACAAAAAATCGCACCGGTCCTGGGGCACTTCGCAGTTTGAGAAGGAGTATACACAAATCTAAGCGCCCCAGCCCTAGCTCGGGTACGTGGTTCACATACATAGTAAGCACACAATAAGCACATAGGTCGGCACAAAAATCGCACCGGATAATCAAGGACCAAACTCAGGACAACGGCAGGAGCCAACGACGGGCGGCCCATCCCCAGTGCCCGCGCAGGCGCCCGTCGGGGGTCTATTATTTATTTAGAAATAAATTCTCACATATTGTATATCCAAACATTCGAAAGCCATGAGGCAGAGCAAGAACAAGTGTGCGTGGTTAATAAAGCTCACCACATGTGGACGAAGATGCATGGGTGAATACTGCGGATTTTATATGAGGTGGTTAAGGAAAGGCGGGCGACTTCCACAACCATGTCGTAAGTGTGGGGTCGTAACACAGGCAGAAACTATCCTTTGTAAAGCCTGTGGTGCGAATAAGGTGCAGCATATGTTTGTTTATAAACAGAAACAAGCAAGAAAAACGTTTGCTAGCGTGCTCGCCGGATTAATGTCGACATTTAGAATTAATTTTGATTTAGAAAAATATCTTCCCTAACGCATACTAACGAAATTTGCGATACTCGAGATGGATACTGTCAATAAACTTCTGCAACTGCATGACCAAGGTGTAATCAGCGGACACGCGCTAAACGCTTCTCTTAAGGCTCTTCAACCGCCCGCTGCCTCAACACCCACGCCAAGAAATGTCACTCCGCCAATCTCCAAACCGTGCGAGCGCAGCCCCGTCAAGTCGACCGATGATGAAATTGATGCACACTTCGATGAGCTTCTGGCTGAAATGTCATTGAGGCGCAGACCACAACGCCCCACAATGGCTCCTCCCTCCCATCAGCCACGGAACTTAAGTGGGATAAAACCTTCAACTATCATCTGAGAGCCTGGAAAATACAGGTGCCGAAGGGGCACCCCCCCGAACGCGACTTGATGGCTTTCATCAAAAGCGCCCAGCCCCACATCGAACACAAACTTGTCGAGGAGCCATTAGCTCTACGAGAAGTTAAGTTCCAGTTGGCGGTAAAGGTTGAGCTTCGGAAGGATGAAGTAAATGGTACTGAAGTGGTTCAAGCACCAGTGTTCCGGACAAAGCAGATCACGCTGCTACAGGCGCATGAGATTCCGCAACCCCCACATGAAGCTTTCCAAACTATCCATGAGAGATTGGAAAATTCACTCGGGAAGGGTCTGGTAGATAGTGGATCGTGTCAAAACACTCTGGCTTGACATCGCTCACTACCAGCCTTTATGCGAAGGCTCATACCTTCTTTTCCCCACCGCGGTCAAGAAAAAGAAGGCGATCGTCAACGTGAAAAACAAAGACGACGACCACCCCCGCTGGTCTCTAAGGGCAGGGCTGTTTCCTGCAGCTAAAGACCCGCAACAACCGGGCAAGTATCCCACTGAAGACGGCCTTGACTTTGTGGGGGTGAGCGCACCCACACCGCTCTCCCAGCTCGAACGAGTAGAGCGTCAGAACGACCTTGCTATCAACGTGAATGGTTGGGAAGGCGGCGTCGTTCCTTGCCGTGTGAGCAAAGTAGAGAGAGCTCACAAGATTTTGAATCTCTTCCTCGTCTCGGATTCGAAAAATCATGAGAAACACCACTACACTTGGATCAAGGACTTCAACTGCCTTCCCAACCGGTAATCAAAGGATAGCCACCGGCTGCACTTCTGTGAACGTTGCCTTCACGGCTTCACCAGACAGGATTTGCTTGAAGACTATAAGCCTGAATGTCGAGGCATCAACCAGGCTGCGGTTGCCATCAGAATGCCAACTCACGGAAAAAACGATAAAATCACCTTTGAGAACTACCACCAGCAGCTAAAAGCGCCCTTCATAATCTACGCCGACTTTGAGAGTCTGGTCTGCGAAATCGAGGGCCCCGCGCTTAATCCTGAAAAGAGCGGCACCCAGCCTATAGTCGTTCGTTCCGACGGGGAAACGCAGCCGCCGCAGCTTTACCGAGGGCCTGACGGGACCAAGCATTTCCTGGATGCGATCCAAGAAGAAGAGCGTAAGATCAAGACAGTGTTGGCTAACCCTGAGCCTATAAACATGACAGGAAAGGACTGGGGGAGCCACAAGAAAGCCACAAACTGCCACTTTTGCAGCAAGCCCATCGAAGGCGATTCTATGCGAGACCACTGCCACATTACTGGCAAGTACCAAGGTGCGGCCCAAAGTGAGTGCAACCTCAAGTTGCAGCTCAGTTCGAAGACGACAACCATACCGATTGTCTTTCACAACCTGCGAGGCTACGACAGCCATCTCATCATGCAGACTATCGCAAAGACTGAAGGGAAGGTCACCTGCATCCCCAACAATGCTGTGAAATACATCTCGTTCAGTATCGGCCAGCTTCGATTTATCGACAGCGCCCAGTTGATGCTCTGATGTCTGGATAAACTGGTGGAAGCCAGCAATCCGCAAGACATGCGCATCACAGCAGACTTAGAGCCGAACCCTACGAGGCGTACCCTCCTGCTCAGCAAGGGGATCTACCCCTATGAATATATAGACGGCTGGTCCACATTTGACGAGGGGTCCCTCCCACCGAAGGAGGCTTTCTACAGCAAACTGTCCGTTAAAGGCATTACCGATGACGACTATGCCCACAGAAAAATGGTCTGGGACGCCTTCGGCTGCACAACCTTCGGCGACTACCACGACCTCTACCTTCGGACTGATGTTCTCCTCCTCACCGACGTCTTCGAGAACTTCCGAAAACTGTGCCTCGAGCAATACAAGCTAGGCCCAGCCCCTTATTATACGAGCCCGGGCTTAAGCTGGGACGCTCTCCTCAAGCACACGGGGGTGGAGCTCGAGCTACTCACTGACATAAATATGCATCCGCTGTTCAGCACAGCCAACAAGAAGGTGCTGGGAAAAGGAAGGAAGAGTGCGCTGGGGCGCCTATCGCTGAGTTTTTGGGACTCAGGCCCAAAATGTACTCTATCCTGAAAGCCAAAGGTGTTAAAAAGCGTGACAGGATCCCATCATCTAAGCCGGCGCTTTTTCGGTACCAAAGGGCACCACTTGGAGCTCCTCGCGCACAAACGTGCCCTTAGGTCAATCGCTCAAAAATACAACACGGGCTTCTTGCCCTCAACTCCAGCCCGCTCGACCTGGTGTTAGGTCACACTCCAGATAGGATCGGTCGCCCTACGCCGTTCGCCACCTTCGAGGTCAACAGGCGCATACAAATACCGCAGCATAACATCCGATGGCAAGCGTTGCTCTTTGAAACCAACTGGACGAAGCGCCAGCGCAACGGGTTTAGCCTTAACGCTCTTCTTCCGAATCACAAGGGAGGGCTTTTCGCCCGTCAAACGAGTAGTTTCATTATTGAGCGCTTTATTCACCTCAGGTAATTTTAATACCCATTCTTTGTTCCGAGTTCCAGGCTCAGCCAGCTCGCGGTTATACTGATAACCGAACAATCGCTCCGCCAAAGTTCGATTAAATCTTTCTACGATCCCCTGATCCCTATGAACTCCGACCCTACCCCGTCAAATCACTTTACACAGCCTCGCGGAACTCCGAGCCAGGGTCGACTTGTAAAACTTAAGGCCATCGAAGAGGCCCACGGGCATAAAAAGACTCTAACGCCTTCCCAACCTGGGTTGCTGTATTGTGTGTGATTGCCTGGGCCTCCTTATACCGACTTGCTACGTCGAAGACCGTCAATGCGTATTTGAATGTGCGTCTTCCGACTCGATCGTGAAGCAGAAAAAAGAGATCGGCCTAGTGGATCTCATTCGGGGTGCTGATATCAAACTTAGGTCGTGGAATAGCACTTCGCGCTGGTGCGGGCAAATAGATCAGCCAGATGGCCTGTTTTGTTAGCCATTCATGAGCCACATCATCGCAGACGCCAGTCTCTTTAGCCAGCTTTGGGATAGCAGCAAGGCCCATCCAGTACCCTGCAGGACTGTAGTAGACCTCTGCGAGGCGTTCCTCAACGCTTCCGTCCGTAGAAACGCGACCATGCTTTGTCGGAACGACAGCTTTGACATTACGTGTCGTAGGCGACTTCTCTTCAGCTTCGAAATCGTCAGGAACACCGCCTGTGGTCAGAGGCATATAGTCGAGTACCTAATGGTCATTAGTTAGAGTGTCTCCGCCGAAAATTCCAATTAATCTTTTTAAAAACCCCTCTACAGAACCCTCTTCTATAAACAACCGCCCCGCCAGAACAGCCGTTTCTCGACTCTACACTGCAAACGTATTCGTAATCATGGCCCGCTTGTTAAAGGCCTTCAGAAAATACTTGCGCAGCTGGGGCTCTGTATATGTATCCTCAATTTCAGCGAGCGCACGTCCAAAGCTATTGAAGACAAGCACATGCGTTCCAGTACAACAAACAGTTAGCCGGTGGTGCCCCCCTTCGACCGGATCATGGAGGGGGTAGATGTTGTCCGTGTTGCTGATGCAAAACTGCCCATTGTGGAGATGTGGTAGGCTGTCGCAGCTACAGACCCTAACGAACCGTTTTTGGTCTCGCTCGGCCTTTAGGAGGCGTTCGATGTCAACGCTCGAGATCGGGTAATCCATTCCTTATACTGAGCACAGCGGGAGGCTGTTGAGAGTCGCCACCAGGATGGCCCTTTACGCGGAGAATGCCGCGATCCTTTCGCCCTCGGTGCGCTCAGCTCGCTGGGGAGAATGTCGTTGACAGTACCTTTGGCGCGGGTATTCTTAACGGCAACATGTCTCACCCCTCCGACGACTACCGGGTGGAATATGTGCCATCCCGCGAGCATCGACGGGTGGTGCAAAAAGATTTAGACTGGAAAGACTCACAAGACGACGAGAACAATTCGAAGAACACGCGCAGCGCCAAGGTCGACAACAAGACAGAAGACAGGAGCGTCGAAGCGCGCAGCGCCTAGAAGAACAGCAGGGACACGACGGAAGACCACGGAGCAAGAGAAGAATTGCGGTTTGGATGAATTCAAGAGCATGCTCATGGATGCTGCAAAGAGCACGGGCAAGAGAGCAGCGAATCGTGCAAAATCGAGGGCCTTTCTAAGTTGAAATCATCAGCCACAAGTTTGACACCCAATGTCCTTGCATCGGCGCCCGCTGCGGCTTCACGTTTCCATTCGCCCATCAGCAACAGCATCTCCCAGGTCTTGCGGGCCGCGTCCTCGACCCCGACGAGCGCCTACATTGGCCAGTCGTTAAACATTTAGAGCGGTGCATATCTTTCTAAAAAAGATTTTCGGCTGTCATTCCCCGCCCCCGGGTCAGTCGTCCCGACGCCATCACAGGTGCCCGCGCCTTCTGTTCTTCCAAGTGTTATCGCGCGCGATACTAGCACTGGTGACGACAAATACTCCGCTATCCCCGGGCTTCAATTTCACAAAAAAGAATGTCTTGACGAGCTTCTGCCTTTACTCAAAAAATAGGGGGCAAAATGTTTTGCTCTTGGGTCAGAGGAATATGGGCAAGAGCTTCTTCATGAAACGGCTCTTTCCTCACGTTCGTCCAAAAGGCTGTACGTCATTTCGAACACCTTCGCTGATCAATATATCCAACCTAACACGGTCTTGAAGCATTATTTCGTCATGCCTGAATCGCTCGAGGATACGAGAATAGAACCGGAGTCCTACGTCATCATCGACGACATCCGCGTCATGAATCTCAAATGTGGAACACAGAGGGAGTGCCTCTATAAGTTCTTTACGATGTATAGCCATCATCTGAAATTGAACGTCTTCTTCCTCTCCCAGAGCTTCGACAACATAAAGGACATGAAGGTTAACACAACTTTCTCTATCTCTTCCGATTCACGGATAAGTCGAACGTGACCAAGAATTACAGAAAGAAGTCTTGAAGAAAAAGGAACATATTCGAGTCCGGATCGTCGATGGTCTCCTATAGCGACTTGAGCGAGTGCCGGATGGTTATCTATCGGCCTTCCTCATCCTAAAGGCGCGGCGGTCCTCCAGTTTATCGAGAACCACCCCGAGCACATTATCAAACGCGCTAAGTCCTCTCTAATTGAGAAAAATCTGACCAAGAATTAAAATTAGAGAAAGTAGTTCAGGAGGGATATCACCAGATTCTTGAAGAAAATTGAACATATTCGAGTCCGGATCGTCGATGGTCTCCCACTGCGACTTGAGCGAATGGCGGATGGTTATCTGTCGGCCTTCCTCATCCCAAAAGCGCGGGGGATGGAGGTCCTCCAGTTTATCATAAACCAACCCGAGCACATAAGTCCTTTATGGAGGTCTTGGTTTATCTCCTGAATGGGGCCCAAGCAAAGGGAACTGGAGCATCAAATCGCCACCGGGATTTCATCTCCTTCCTGTGTAAAGCATTGCAGTATATACTAACCCATTCCTTTGCAGGATCTAACCCATCCAAGTTGAGCTTGCTGATTTTAAAAAAAACACCCAAGCGTAAAAGAGCTCTATGCCTTGTTCAAGGGCAACCCTGAGCTTCTCAATGAAGAGTCAGTCCTGAGCGCAGTCAAATCCAGGTTGCTCAACTATTCTGAAGATACAGGCCAAGTTCGCGACAGCGTCGCTGATTTCCGTTTGAAAAACTAACTCCTGGCGGTCATTACAACCGCGCCTTCTCCAGACTCGTAAAGAGGGGAGTTCGATCGCTTGCTGCTGCTCGTCTTTGGCCGCTTTCTGGCGTGCCAGAAGATTCCGAGGCCTTTCAAAAGCAACTATTTCACTTCGCGTGCGCAGCTGGTACAATTGTTTACGGAAAACCCTCAAGGGTTTGAAGCCAATCTTAGGCAGCCTCAAGCGGATCAGGATATGCGTGTTGCCATCGTGGCTGACTATCGCGTGCTTGCGAATAAAGTAAACCAACAGTTTCTCAGCAGGTATCCCTTTGAGGTGGTCGCTATCGCCATAGTTGACTTCGGCCATCCTCAGTTTCGCCTGATGAGGAGGAATTTGCAGGAGATCAGACAGCATGCTCTTACGGTACAAGGGTCAGGACAGAAGTTCGGTGATTTGGCGGCCTTGCTTGACACCTACTCTAAAACACCCGAGATCAAATTTATAAATTATGGTCGTCATTTTACGCCTGGAAGCGTCAGAGTCAAGATGACTAGCGAGGCTGGCTTTATCAATGCGCTCCTCATTAACGGGAGCCGCATCACTAGCAAGTGTGTTGCTACATTGAACGCTCGAGGCCTTGTTCGCAAGATCCACTGAGCTTGATCCCTATATGGGAATACGCTTTGGACTGCCCCACCCGTACGCAGCTGGAGGTTGTTCTCACCTAAGCTCAGGCCGCCAAGCGACTTTAGTATCATCGTTCCGATAGAGCTGCGACGATGGTGGGACGCCCTTCTGCGCGTATTACTCTGCAGGCGGAGAGGGGGGCCGGCGTATGGTCTACGCTTGGCCCAGTTCTCAGCTCGAGTCGAGTGCTTCGCTTGGGGATCGCGGCTGCTGTAAACGATGTTGCGACAGTCCGGCTGAAAGTGAATGATGTCGAAAAGACAACTTTCGAAGTGCGCAAGCCACGCGGGCTGGTTTCAGCTTTCACAGTTTTTAACCCTGCATTAGAGATTGACGCGGGGGCCATTATTGGGTTTTCTTCAACATCTTCTACCGTAGGTTCGATAGTGACATTGCTATTGGAGCAGTATGACTTTGTGTGAGCCATTCGCGCCCCCTTCTTCACCTCTGGTGTCGACGGCGCCTCTCTATCCTACGCTGCCTACTGCGAGCGATGCTGGAAATACGTACCGATTACAGGAGATTTCAGAGTTCGAAACAATTCAACTGACTCTTTCTCGAGTTTAGTACACACTCCGCGATGTCCTCTTCTTCTAGCACGAAGCCTTTCCAGTTTTTCTTTCTTCAGTCGACATTTTCGTAACGAATATGGGCGACTTAATTTCGTTAAAGCTTTCACGTGCATGACAATTATGATGACATTGTACGTCCATTTAATTAGCATACAAGTGAGTGGTAATGTCAACTTTCATCAAGCCAAAAACCTTGTTTGCTAGTAATAAGATGTATAATATATGCACGTGGCTGTTTAATTTTAAGAAAAGATTGTAGCAAACATAGCATGCTCATGTTTATAAAATGGAGACGTTTTGTCAAATCATGTAAGATGCTTATTGCGTTGTAAGCGAGTGACCATTTCATTAATGTTTTATTGATATTAACAACATTTCATGAAAATTTGACATTGTTGAAGACAGAAATATATCTTTAACTTTTTGTTACATTTTGTCACATATAAAACTTGCTAACATGTTATCACATTTTCTTTTTCAGTTTCAACTTGGATAGATATAGGTTTTACGAACATCTCGATCTACTCTCGCTTACGTAAATATGGCCACTTTATTTCATAAGGGATGTAGTATGCAGTTCCGCATATCCATCGTTTTTTTTGTTGTGGGTTTTACTACGATCATCTATCTTTACAAAAATGAGTTTGTGATAAAATATGCTCCTGCATCTGAAACTACGTTTACTCATCAACCTGGAATAACGCCTACCAATAAATCTGAAACAACGTCTACTCGTCAACCTGAAACAACGTCTACTCATCAAATTGGAACAACTTCTACTAATGAATCTAAAACAGTGGCTACTTATAAGTCCGAAACAACGTCTACCATTGCAATAAATACAACATCATCTCCATTGCGAACAGGTAAAATAGTTCTTTTGTTTTGGAGTAAATTTTTTGGTGCTTCACCCGCATCCTTTGAAGTAAACTTGCCAAAAGGTGACAAAGAAGGCGAATGTCCTGTGGCCTGTGAGGTTACATCAGACCATCAGCGAGCTAAAGAAGCAAAAGGATTTATTGTACATTCAAGAGATCCATATCCTCTACCTCCATCAAAAGATGTTCCCTGGATCCTAACGGGTATGGAAAATCCTGTTTATACTCCTATACTTTCTGACGGCAACTTTATGTCACAGTTTCAATTGTCGAGAAGCTATCGACTTGATTCTGATTTTCCTACCCCACTCTTCACAAAGCCAAATTTAGATCCACCGGTTCCGTTTGAGAAAAAAACGGGAGGAATTATTGCTACTCTTTCCAACTGCGAAGCTGTCAGGACAGCGTATATAAGACATCTCACGGAACATGTTCATGTCGATTCCTATGGTGGATGTTTACATAATAAAGATGGTATAGTAGGACGCTGGGCACCAAATTTTAGAGAAGCAAAACAAGATTTGGAAAAATTATACAAGTTTGTTATTGTGTTTTTCAACCAAGATTGTGATTACTATGTTGATAAAAAAATTCTTAATGCACTTAACGCAGGTGCAGTACCTGTGGTGATGAGCACGGATAAAATTAATGATTTTTTGCCTGGAAATCTGAAAAATGCCATTATCAATGTCAGAGATTTTAAGTCTCCCAAAGAATTGGCGGAGCGACTTAAGTTTCTAATGAACAACAAAACTGAGTATAATAAGTTCTTGGAATGGAAAGTAAAAGGCTTAGGTCATATTAACGACACTGTGATTGGAAGATTTTGGGAAAGTAAATTTTCCATTTCATTTCATTGATTTGCACAACAAAATTTTGTAAATACAACTAACGTTGTGTTTGGTGCGCATAACCTTTCTGTTTTTTATTTTATTATGTTGAAATTTAACAGCTGGAGACATTACGCAAGCATAAGCTTCGCAGAAGTTGGCAAACATCAAATATCTATCGTCTGAGAGAATACTACACTGTGATGAGACTTGATGCACTGTGCTTGTATTTAAACATTTAAACCAGTGTTGATATGTATGTAGCAAATTGTCATTATGTAACCGTGCTTATCTCACCTATCGTTTATATTATATTTCCTAAATTACGTTTGTACTCTATAGACCATATATTCCTCTCAAAGATATTATTCAACAAGGCATGACATGTGAGTTCGTAATTATTGCAAGTGAATACTAGTAACTATTCTTTGATACAATAAATTTCACACGGGTAACAACACGGACTAATTAACCTAATGATACGAGATACGAATATACTGGATTCGTAAATTTAATGTGGAGAAATGAAGACATGTGGAGAAGGATTTACGGCAATTTACACGATGTACTTTGGGAAACTATGGAACAATTTAATATTTTGATAATATTACTTTTTGTGTCATATCGCTCAGTACATCAGATTGTATTTTTATTTCATAATAAAAAAAAATCGCCCGAAAAGTTCCTGCTATTTGCCTACGAGTCCAAGATTTGGGGTATACCCCATACCCTTCTCTCAGACGTATTGGCCCTGATTGTGCTGTCTGCATTGGATTTTGAAATCCTGCAACAGGACCTTATTGCACTAATTCCATGTTCACTTGTATACATATTTTTAAAAAATACGGAGATTATTCCTCCGTTTCTGAACAGATTTGCGACCACACATAGCGTATTTAAATCGTTTCCACCTGTCCACACGTATGCACAAAACCGGAGAAAATTCAATACTTGTAATCTCTTAGCATGTGTATTTACTTGTAATAAGGGATTCTTCAAGCTTTTGCATCATCAAATTTGTTAATTACTCAACGATTTATTATCAAAAACGTATAGAATACAAACGAAATACTAAGCTTTAATAGCTTACGACTGCATGTTCTCAAATTCAGTCACATGACCATATCAATGACGCATGCGTATTTAAATCAATAACTAATTAATAAAATAGAGACTTTGTCGTGGTGACAAATCTGAAAATCGTTCTAAAGATCGCAAATACCATTGTGAATGGTAAAAGTAATAATTTAATAGTGAAATTAAACGACATAATGCATTTTGGGAGACCACTCCTTAGATGTCAACGTCTGCTAAATGAAAATTTAAAATCTACCGATATTTGTAAAGCCAAGAAATAATGTACGTCATCTCCAAATGGGGAGATGACTCTCAAAACAAGGATAAATTGAAAACATAATCCTTTTGTCGGCAGAGGACGAGATTAGTTAACTTAATCAAAACAGCCTCCATGACGCGTACTTAAAAGAATGAACGGCATTTCTTAATAATTCTAAAATTGTCGTCGGAAAAAGAATCAGCACAATGGGAGTTATTGAAGCGACGTTTACCTATCGCGGAGTCACATTAAACTAAATTATTTTTCTTACAATCACGTTTTGGTTGTTGTCTTGATGGAATCGTTCTATTTCTGATTGAAGTTGGTACATGATGTTTGATCCTATCACCTAACCTTTGAGAAATTATACCTTTTTTCACAAACTCATCCCTCATTTCTAGAATAAAAAATGGCTTCGCCACCTAACAAATTAAAGATTGCAGAAAATGGATCTAGTTTAAGTAAACTTTTAATCATTAAAGGAACCCAAGCCTTAAAAACAACATTGCAATCTTTATTAAAGCCATCAAGTTTAGCTGGTAAACTTAAAGATCCCTCTGCAAAGAAGACACTAACATCTTTGAAATTTAAAGTCATAAAGAATGAGCAATGGGATCTTCTTTACCCGTCAATTGGTGACCCTGATATTGAAAACTTTGACATCACATTATTAACTGTCTTATTGCGAAATATATGTGGTCTAAAAGCGCCATTTAGAGGATGGGATAGTCTTCCTTCCTCTTCAGATTCTTCAAACTCAGCAAATATTGCAAGAATAAAGTTTTATCGAAACGAAGTGTACGGTCACATAACTACAACTAGTGTAGATGATAGTGAATTTGAGAACTTGTGGCAGGAAATTTCAAAAGCATTGGTTGGTTTGGGTATTCAACAAATTGAAATAAATGAATTAAAGAAAGCTCCCCTCACTCTCGATGAGGCAACTTATAATTAAATGTTAAAAGAATGGTATAAAACAGAAGAGCAGTTAATCGATGTCACTGAAAAAATCAAAGAAAATGTCAATGTAATAGAAAGAAATGTTGTAGAGATGAAACAAGAGATGGCAATAAAAGTTAGAAACTAAAATGAGGATGTAAAGAAAACAAAAGCTGATGTAGCAGGAGTAAAAAAATGTTACAGGAGAAAATTATTACGTCTTATTGCGTAACATATGTGGTCTAACAGCGCCATATGGTGGATGGGATAGTCTTCCTTCCTCTTCAGATACTTCAATCTCAGCAAATATTGCAAGAATAAAGTTTTATCGAAACAAAGTGTATGGCCACATAAACACAACTAGTGTAGATGACGGTACGTTTGAGCGCTTGTGGGATGAAATCTCAAAAGCATTGGTTGGTCTGGGTATTCAGCAAATTGAAATAGATGAATTGAAGAAAGCTCCACTCAGTCCTGATGAAGTAAAATATATTGATATGTTAAAAAACTATACTTGCATAAAAGAGGGTGTAAAGAAAACGAAAGCTGATGTAGTAGGAGTAAAAAAAATGTTACAGGACAAAACATATTCAGACGTCGAAAAGCTTGGAAAGTGTAATTTCAACGGTCTTATAAAAGATCTTAACAAGAAATACCTTGAAGGAACTAGACAATGGTTATTTGAAAAACTCGACACTTGGTTTAACGATAGAAGTGAAGATGCTTCTAATGTCATGATTTTGATTGCCGGTCCTGGTGTTGGTAAAAGTGTGTTTGCTGCTGAGTTGTGTCGACGATATTCTTAAAAGAACAAACTTGCCGCTTCTCATTTCTGCAGATATAATAAATCAAATTATAGAAATCCTCGAATATTGATAGAATCATTGGCTAGTAGCATCTGTGATACATTATCAGATTTCAAATCTAAACTAAATGAAGAATTACAGAGAAACAATTCCAAAGAATCGATCACCGATGCATTCCTTGTTTTATTAAATAATCCATTGCATTCATTGGAAGATCATGTACCAATGCTTTTGGTTATTGATGCCTTAGATGAAAGCCAAGTTGATGGCAAAAGTGAATTGTTGGAATTGATTGCAGAAGAGTTTGACCGATTGCCTAAATGGATTAAAATCTTCATCACCAGTCGTCCAGAACTTCCTGTTCAAAAGGTGTTGAAAGATATGAATCCTGTGGAAATTACAACTCGTACTCGTGATGAAAACAACGAAGATGACCTGCACAAGTATTTGAGACATATGTTGAGTGATTTGCCGAAAAAAGATAGTTATGGTGCTTTAGAGTTAATGGTTAAAAAATGCGAGGGGTCATTTTTGTACGCTTACCATGCACAACAGAGTTTGAAAAAAGAAAAAACTGAGATATCTGTTGAGAATATTAAAAAATTGGTTCCTACTGGTTTGGGTAAATTTTACACAGAACAATTCAAGAGATTAAATAAATTATTGAAAGGAATAATTTTATCAACACACAAAACCATTATTTCCGATAAAAACTTTACGGAATGTCTTGAAGTGTTGGTGACTTATCAAAGTATTTTGCCTTTGTCTTTTCTTTTTCAATGTTTAGGTTTTTCTGATGACATGAAGTTTAAAGATCGTATTAAAATACATGAAGTGCTATCTCAAATTTTGCCAGTTTACGATGATTATTTGACCGTGTATCACAAATCTCTATTTGATTGGTTAAAATCAGATGGTTATGAAGAGCATGAGTTTACAGTTGATATAAAAAATGGACATAAGTTCTTATGGCATGCTTGTGAGAAAGTGTTTAAACACATCAAGTCGATGAACATTTTTGAAGATCAGATGAACACTGCTATGATTAAATATGCTTTAACGAATGGAGTCCACCATATGATAGAATGTGGCGAAAATGTTGACTTTAGCTGGGCAGTAGATGTGAAAGTGGTTCTTGCGAATTTAATGGTTGTGGAAGGCAATGACATGTTTGCCATTAAGTTTGAATTGCATGAAATCATCAAGGAACTACAAACTTTCTTGAGAAAAGATGTACTTGAGGAACAACTATTTCATTTGCTTATGGTGTTACTGACAATGAAATATGACTCATATAAGCAAGATGATAGCTTAATTTTTTTACAAATTATTGCAAACAGAATTCATGGCAGTAACGAAAAAAGATTATTGGCAAGGGATTTATTGAAACAAGGAAATTTTGTTTGGTTTGAGGATTTAGACTCAACATATTTAACAAACCATCATCATTTGACTGTCTCCTTACGTGCTAACGTTACATCTCTTTGTGTGTCGTCCAATGAAGAATTTCTTGCTGTAGGATATGAAAATGGTCAAATATCTATTTTTGAGCTTCCAGAATTTACAGAAAGATATATTCTTGGCACTGTACTTGATGATTCAAGGCTGAAGGAATGGGACGAGTATGCCAAAATTGCATTCCAATAGCCTTCTATCCAAACAATATACGGTATAACTCCCACAAATTTCTTTTTGTACGTGGAAACATATTTTGTTGCTCTTTTTCACCTACCGGAAACAGACTGGTAACTAGTGATGGATCTACTGAAGTAAAGTTGTGGGACGTTAACAATGGACGTTTGTTATTATGTTTACAGTCAGATGATGTCGTTAATCGTTGCTCTTTCTTAGATTCTGGTTTGTATTACAGCAAGATTTGATGGAAATTATTCTAAAGAAGTGTTCACTGCATGGAGTTCATTAACTTTGAAAGAATTGATCGACGCTGCGTTGTTGATTGACTACAATGCGCCGATAAATATTCAGAGTTTTTTGTTGCAGAATTCGTCGAGACTTCGTATGTTTTTCAATTCCCAAAGGCAATCAATATTTTCCCACTACCATCACATTTAATGATAACACACCATCATCGTGATTGTATTTTTTATCATACAAACCAAAATGGAAAGCTTTCTGAAATCACTCAGTTGACAAAATACAACGATCAAGGAGAAATCGAGTTTTGTTTACCAAATGTTGAGTGTCCATGTGTTTATAGGACACTTAACGAAGTCCATCCCATCTCGTTTAAGGAACTTTACGTTGTGCCGTATTTTACCAAACTTAATATTTTCAAAACTGATCATCTTTGGAGACCTTCATTTATCTTTGAAAAATTTGAAATTAAATGTTGTTGTTTTTCACCGGATGGATCTTTTTTGCTGCTTTCGCTGTTGGTGACCACGTCAACATTCATATTTGGAGCATTGAACGCTGCACTATTATTCAAACTGTCCCAATGCAACTGAAGAATGCATTAGGATGTTGGTGGTCAGATGGTTTACTGTGGATATGGAATGGTTCTTATGAAGATATCAACTTCATCTAAAAATGTTGTAGATTCTACTCAAGCAAAGCAAGTTAACATTGGATTTAGACCTAAGAAAATCTTAACATTTGGTGATGTCTTAGTTTGTATTGACGAACAAGATTTTGTTCAAGTTGTTAGAATTACCAAGGGTGAGATACAATACAACAAAAGACTTCCTGTCGACAGTTTTGAATTGAAAGCAGCAGCTGTATCACCTGATAATTCTGTTATTTTAACTGTAAACAAAACGAATACACATTATGGAAATGGGGAAATAACAACAATGAACTTTACTTGAAACCTTGGCATACTGCAGAAATACCCATAACGTCTTTTATTGAAGAATTTGTTCAGGAACAGATAACTGGACTTGTTGTAATGTCCATTGCTCTATAAGTGATAGTAACCAAGCGGTCATTGCATTCTTTTGAAGACGACTATTTTACCAGAGAACTGGCATTTATGTAATTAATGTGCATAAAACAATGACGTGAGTGCGATTTTGCATAGTATCGATGAATTTTATGGTCTAGCACAATCGTACATAAATCATATTTCATTGGTGAATCTTTTGGCATACTGTTTGCTGTAGATTTAAAGATTGGTGAAATATGCGCTAAATTTGAAGATACATATTCACAGCCTGTTATAACTATGCATTCAACACAAATATAATAGGGGATACGAAATTAAATTTTAAAACTCAATGTTCCTGAATAAATCCACTAACTCAACCTTTTTAGTTATATTAACTTAACTAACATTACATATCACTTAAAACGAACATAAAAGTTCTTTATATCACAAAAGGACAGTTATTTATGGTATCAACAACGAACTCAAAAATATTACAGAAAAAATTGTCCATATTCTTTGTTTTAACAGTGGAAAAACTGTCAGTTTTAAATTATGTAAAAATATCACGGACAGAGAGAGAGATTAGTTTCTTGTTATGTCAAGTAAAGATCTTTTTCATCCTATGATTCCCGTCAACTTTTAAATTTATATTTGGAGAATTCAACACTGTAACATTGTCAAAGTTGTGATGAAATTGAGAATATCACACAAAGATGTTGATTGTCGTAAGGATGGTCGCTTGTTTTACATGACAAAATTACCAAAAGTGAGAAACCTTTGATCTCTGAACGAACTTTATGTTGATGGTTTACTTTTTAATACAAATGTATGGTCAGATAATTTGGTTATTTTTATTATATATTAAACGTTCACTACATAGAAATGAAAGAATGTCCACAACTCATTCATTGTGAGTCATTTGACAATATGTTGTTGTTGTAGATGAACCTTATTTTGTTTAAATTATAGAGTGACTTTCTTTGAACATTCTTTCAAAAACTGTAAATAAAGTTTACCTTACGCATGTTAATATCGTGGAAACAAGTTTTGTATGATGTTAAAAATTCACATTTATAAAACACCATCATGATGTCATGTCATGTCATTGGGTTTTATGGTCATTAGTTGAAAATGAGAGATCATTTCTGTACGTTTATTATGTACATGACCTTAAAGACAGAAAATGTTATATACTGTCAGCAATTCCCGTATGTAAAACATCATGACGTCATGTCAATAACTATGATGAAAATAAATAAAACTTTTACGATTTTGACATAAGTTCATTTGAATTAAGAAATTAGGAAATAATTTTGAGTAAAATTTTTCTGATTAAAATATTGAAGAATGAAAAACTTTACTTTCTGTTTTCAATTTTTAAGATGAAATTTGTCATTATAATGTTGATGATAATACAACGTACAATATACAGCTACAGTTTTAACTTGTAACAATTGTAAACAACCAAGAAACATCTTATTGATGCTTATAATGTGCTTTAAACACTCTAATGTAACAGATTTTTCTGGTTCTAAGTTTGGGTCATCTTATGAAAAAATAGATATGTGCAGCGTACATTTTGTTGTCTCTTAACGATTAGTAAACAACTAAACTAAACATTGTAGTTTTTCAAAATAAACATGTTTCAGCATCTCGTGATGTTATCTTCAGTATAAGTGACAATATTATGTATATGATACAACATATAATATATTAATATGATACAGTGACAGTTAACTTAAATATACGTATAATGTATACAATAAAATATTGACATGAATTAATTATGAATGTATTTAGAACTGCTTCTTTAATTTAAAGTTTTAAAATCTCAAGTTTTTAAGTTTTTCTTACTCTACAAAAACGAGATAAAAATATCTGTGCGGGATAACTAAGGACCGAAAAATAAAATTAAGGGGAAGAGTTGAATATGGCTCTTTCTTTCTGCTTCCTAGAGCCATCACTGCATATTGCATAATCATGTTACATTGAGGTTAAATTTGGTAATAATTTAAGGCTTAGCCTACGTTTACACTATATACCAGATTCGTTCATCACGACATCTTCAATTGGTTTAAAGTGGTGTCTGTTTGGAGTAAATGCTTATTAAGTTATTAGATTTACTTCATTTAACTGTGTCTTTTACATTAAACGATTCACTGCCCTTTAATACATAGATAATTCAACCTGCAATAACAGCAATAAGTTATAGAGTGAACGGACCTTAGGCACAGCATAGATATCTTAACTGAAGGTCCGCTCGTGTCGGAACCTTTGATATTCATGTCCCCCACTTTTCTAAATGAAATTCTAAAGCAGACACGCCTTCCTGCAAGATACTTCTGCTAGATCGCAATAGAAAATATAGATGATTTTACAAATATATCGTTTTGCGCTAAAAAAGATTGGAACTTTATCTTTGCAAGATGATAACTCTTAGTAAAAATTTCGGTAAACTTTTGCTTTAAACGTGAATTATTAGTAAAATAGCATTCTCGCGTGCAATACTATTCCTTGTTGATTTTGTGAAAGTATCTTTCTGGAAAGTCACGCATGCGTAGTGAAAAAATACTCCATGATTTTAGCCGAGTGGGCCTTCTGTTAGATGTCTATTCTGTTGTTAAAGTAAACACATACGAATTTTAATATTTTAACACTTCTGAAATTGACGTCACGATAAAAAATTTTCATTTTGATTGGCTCTTGAGGTGCAAGTGACTTTTCAAAAATACTATAATTAATCCTTTAATGTATTTGAACAAAAGAAATACTTTGGACTAAAACTTTTACGCCCGTTTCAATCATTGAACTTTTCATAGGCTGAATACATTTAAAACAATTGACAATGTGGAATTTTACCATATTTTCTTTTATCTTTAATGCACTCGGCTCATGTAGAAATATAATGTAAGTAGTGTGTATTTACTGGTGAAGTAAGAAATATATAAAAGAAATCAACTGGCCTTGCTGGAACCTTTGTATTGTGAAGGATTTTTCCAATCGCCACCAATGGTATTAAATTTAGAGTGGCAAATATGTTCAGAAAGGATGGTCCCCGATATCTGTACTGTATTGATTAAATATGGAGGTTACACCATAAATGGAATGATATAAAGTTATCAAAAGTACATGTACAACGTCAAACGTATGTATGAACATTTGGACTATGAAAACTGACTACATTCAACAAAGATGAAAAAAGGCAAATGCAAAAGAGGAGAATGGAAGAATATGATCTAGGTTTTAAAGTTCGTAAGTAGAGTTGACAAGTTTTAATATTTGTTTGCATGAGTATGAGGTTATTATGAAGGATCATGGTGGTCTATCTTTACAATTTGAAGATAAACAAAAATCATCTTTAAACTAGGATTTTGTGACCAAATCCTTCAATTTTTAGTTGTCAATATAAGAGACCACGTGCTGCAATAAATGACTGGCTTTCACTATAGTTACTTTTTTAAAAATACATGTTTAAATATTTCAATTTTTTCTAAAGAATAATCACCAAACGATAGTCTAATTTCATAAAGCGTTCATTGAATTTCTAAGAGAAAAAAATGACGCTAAGTATGCAAAAAACTGTGACCAACAAAGAAGCAAGAGACACCAAGTAACCTCTAAAATTGTTAAACAAAACTCTCTGAAATCAAGCAATTAATTTTTCATTTGTCATTCCAAATGAATTTCATTTGTATTCTTGGGGTTATATGACATAGCTAAGAGAGAAAATCAGCAACAAAGTAACACAAATGTCTATCGTTATCTTTTCCTTAAATATTTTATTCATGCATGTATTGAATGTAACATAAATAAAGACGGAGTAAACACATTCATTTCAAGGGCGACAGCACATCCCGCCATGGCAACATGTATCTCTCCTGGGGCAACAATTGTAATGCGAAAACTTGTTATGATGGTAAACAACACAGCATCTTCGGTTATCTTCACACCAATGCCATACTCCATTTTCTCTTCCACAATATACCCTTTTATTTACTTCCTGAAAGGGATTTGATCAATGAAGAAACAATAAAAACGCGCTACTTAAGTCGCTTTAGTGGTAATGGCGTATCTTACATAGATAAATAACTCTTTCTCAAACTAAGCATTGCGCTCAGACTCTTTGCATTTTTACTCCTATTTACATTCTGACTTTAAAAATTGTTGATCTACGATATTAAAATCTTTGTCCTTTTCTGCAAAATGTTTGTCTCAGAAGTTTTGATGATCTAATCCTAGTTTGTTAACTCAATACTATTAAAATAAATATCGATATTTTAATAATAATTATTTGCAGCTATACAGACTGGTTAACTGCTTTAGTAAATTTATTTAGTAAAAGAACCTGCTGTTTGTATGTAGATTAACAATTAATTGTCCGTTTACTTTTCATTAAATTTTTGAACACCTACTACTTGTCTTTGTGTTAGGAAAGATAAATAATTAAACATCTGCATTCTAGAAGAAATTTGATAAATGATTTAAGCCCATTATTTAAGTCGTTTTAGATGTAATGGCGTTTCTTACATTTATAAATATTTTCTATTTAGAAATAAAAAATACTCGAGTATAGCATTTTTACTCTTATTGACATTTGAATAATTAAAATTGTGTGTCCGATAATAAAGTTTTCATTTTTTTCAAAATATCTTGAGCTCACTATTTAAGTTTTACAGTTATGATGCGTGGCATATCTTATATTTAAAATAATATACTTGAAGATATTCTGAACTGTCATTGGTCGATTGCTGTGCGTTTTATTGGTAATTACCAATTTACCAATAAAACCATTTTACTTATTATTTCTATTTCAAACTAAAAAATCTTTAAGTTGTTTGTATTTTTACGTCTATTAGCATTGTGATAGTTAAAATCTGTTTATTCCACATGAAAACTTAGTTTTTTTTTAAATTGTTTGTCCGAGAAGATTGTTTAATGGTTTGATTCCAACTTACAAGCTTAATTATTATAATAAATATAGCAATTTTAACGGAAGCTTAAATTTCTGGGGGAAGTTTGGTGTGTTGGTCTTTCCCAAAATGTACGTATTTAAGTACTATTTCATGAAGAAATTTATAGTCACATGACAACTGGTAGATTGAATTTACATTCTTCAAAGTCCGTATATATAGATACTTATTTCAAAGTGTTATGTTTACTAGCTGCAAGCACTAAAGGCCCATGATATAGAAAATCCAGGGAGTCTGGGGTGCACCCCTGGAGCAACTTTAATCTCCTGAAAATCATCATTCCGTGCGTTTTGAGGACTTTTTTAATAAAACAAAAAATCAAGTAAAAAAACAGTGAAAATAATCGATAAAAGGCTTCTTGTACTAAGGAAAACAAGAAGCAAACGGCGTTTCAAATCTCTGTAATTTCCATGCCCAAAAACAGGCTCTTCCCGATTATAGGGGAGTGCCATCTACCCAGTGCTGTAGAAGTGGGGGGCGCTTGGGGGAGGAGCCCCTCTTCTACCTTTGGAATGGGTAATTTTAAAAGGGCACTATTGATAAAAACGTCAAGAGAGCCCCCAATCTAATAAATTTAGTTTTACAGCACTGCATCTACCTCCCACCCCCAACAATCCCCCTGCAAATAAGCCTTTGAGCCCATATTCATATTACAAATTTTTTAATTAGCTTCTATTTCTGATGGAAAATTGTTTGTAGTGGAATGAAAAACGTTCTCAGGGCTAGATTAAGGGGAGGGCGTTGTGGCCGTGGCCACAGGACGAATGGTTTTGAGGGCCCCGCGCAAAGCAATTATTTTCAATGGAAATATTGTCTTTGTGTGGCAAGAATAATGTAAAAACCGCAACACTGTAGGTAGGAAATTTGGTATTTAAATAAAACCTCATATTACAGACTAAATTTCGAGTGCTTCCATTAAATGTCAACTTGGAGTTTTTAAACAAACTATGAATGAGATCTGATTTTATGTTTGTAAAATACATCGTAAGAAACATTGGACTCGTTATTGTAAGAATATCATTTTTGAAAAAGAAACATTTGTATTTTGCTAACGCTTTAGCGGAAGCATTTTTAGTAAATAAAGTTCTACTTGTAGCTATTTTTTGTAAATCAAAAAAAATCTTAAATTTTTGTGGATAAACGATGTCAGTTGAGGGGAAGAGCTAGTTAGCCTTTAAACCGCCACAAGCCCCACGAAAGCTTGATTCGAACCCGAACGTTCGTCATGTTTATGGACTTTGCCCCACTTACTCCTCCTCCACAAAGGTTTTTAGCTATTGTGAAAATGTTTATGTTTGAAAATATCAATACGGCCAACTTTATTGTACGTCTTTTCCAATAATGAATTTATCGGTCTTTGTTGTATCGCTCCATTTTGACCAAATCAATAAAAACCAGTAGATACAACACAATGTAAATTCGTTTCATTGCTAAAACAAAATGATCAAATGTATTTCTTTCTTTACATGTTACTGTCACTTAAAATATATTTTTTCCAAATTAGTTACTTATGTTATGACAATGAACTTCAAACAGCAGTGTTAAAATTACTTTTTCTTGTACTTCTTTTTCGTAACGAGAAAAATACAGCAAAATAGAGTAGCAATAGCTCTGTCTTCTTCCTATATCGATGTACTTTGAAGCTCTGGTGACTTGTCCAATTGATTACATTAATATATAAGATCGTATTTAAGTAAGAATTCATCATATGAAGCTCAGTTGTTATTCATGTGAATTTTAGTTGGAGATCAATTAATCCTTCTATGTTATTGTATGTTAATCATCCATGATGATTTCTCATAATGACGTTATAATCTTATGACATGGTATACGTTTATAGGACAGGAAGAAAGACATATACTGAAATAGAAATAGCTCTTGTCATTTTCTGTTTCCAATACCTAATTTAGAACGTCAGACGAAAAAAGAAGAAGTATATTTCATGCCACGAAATTTAAATAAGCTTACTCCAAGTATATATACAGGTCAGTGCCATAAAGAAAAGTAAAAATCAACCCAAAAGATACCATTTAAAGAGCTATATTAATTACTCACTATATTGCTTAAAACCAATAACATATTTCGAGATGTATATTGTCTTACTTTTTGTGTTGTATATGAAAATCTAAATAAATGAAAAAGTATCCATTTTAACCAGTCAAGATATAGAAATTCGTGATAATGGAAAAGATTATAAATTATTTTATTCATACATGTGTTGAATTCCATCGGTCAAAACACAATTTGCCAGACGATATGATTATATAAAAAAAAACGTAGCTAGTAAAATATAAAGGTTCAGCTCTCTGACGCTGATTTCTTATAAGTGGCGTTTTTGTTTGGAAATCAGAATTATTAAGTCATTGCGGCAAAGCCAAAAAAAGCAGAACATCAAATTCATAAATAGTTTTTTGTGATCGACTGAGAAAATTTCTCTTGCTCTATAGAATAATTTTGATTGCTTTCATGTGACTCACGTTGGTTAATTCATGGTTATGGACTTTACCCCTCTCCTTATTATTAAATGTTTATGTTTGATATATATTAAGACGACCAACCTCTTTGTACGTATTTTCCAATAATGATTTCGTCGGTCTTTCCTTCATTTGCTTGTATCGCTCCATTTTGACAAAATCAATAAAAACCAGTAAACACAACAGTATGTAAGCTCTTTTCATAGCTAAAACAAAATGATCAAATGTATTTCTTCTTTTACATATTACATTTTGTATCAATAATGTTGAAATTACCTTTTCTTGTACTTCTTTTTGTAACAAGTAAAAATGCAACAAAGTAAATTAGCAATAATTCTGTCTACTTATATCGACTTACTTTGAAGCAGTGGTGACTTGTGCAATGAAGTGTTTATTGTGAGATCGTATTTAAGTAAGAATTGATCACATGAAAATCAAACGATATTCGTGTGAATGTTGGTTTGAGATCAATTAATATTTTTATGTTGTTGTATCTTAGTCATCCATGATGATTTCTTGTGATGATGTTATAATCTCATGATATGGTATGATTACATGACTGGAACAATGTCATATAGTAAAGTAAAACTAGCTCTTGTCCTTTTCTGAAGTTAATGCAATAATACCTGCAAATTTAGGAGTTTGAAAGTGTAAGAACAACCTTAGTTAAAGACATTAGTTAAAAGTCTTCTGGTTATTCAATAAATAAAACACTTGGAAAAATACATATAAAATTTTGTAAAGAGATTTACCACACCGTGTACATGCGACAGATGTCAATTTGTCTTTCAATAGATGTTTTGATAAAGTCATTCATCGTCTTAAATTATAATATAAACACAATGAAACCCGTGCGTTGATTGTTCTAGAGCTGAGTTTGCATTAGCCAGTGCAAAGTACATCTGAGCTCAACCAACCAAATCAATCGAAACAATAAATCAGTCAAAGAGAATTTGCAAATTGATCATGAATACATTTTGGAGAAAAAATGGAAACGTTTGTCTTTTTCACATTATTATTAATGAATAAAAGAAATAAAAGTTGTTTTCGTGTTTGCACTGCCTTATGCAAACCTTGGAGAGGTTTGCGAGAACCTCGAGCACGTGCAACCCTTGACCTTTGGTCTCGGGCTTTCACTGATCATCTCTTATGTTCTCCCAAAGGTCTCCTCGGTTTGCATAATCCTGTGCAAACACAGAAAACACCTTTTATTTCTTAATTGAAACATTAAAACTTTTTTGAACAACGTGCAATGCACGAGATAGTTTGTAAATGTTTGTTTTGACGTCAAACTCAAACTAAGATTTTACGAATATTAATGTAGCACAGTTCCCATGCTTTGGATCAAAATTTTTAAATAGAATTACATAATATATAATATAAATATATTTATTTTTTCAAGTGTTTTGCTACCACAAATCACCCGTAACTTATTTATTAAATGTATGGAATTAAAGTGCTTTTACATGCTTTAACTGCCAAATTTGTCAGTGTTGATAAACTAGGAATTTAAACTAGAAAATAAACCAGGAATATTTTATTATAGCTGTGTGCCGTCGTTTTTTTCATATATTCACGCTTCCATGAGCTAAACTAGAACGTTAATTGGGGGGTATGTATTCATATGTTCAGCTCTGCCCTGCTGATTTCTTTTTGTTTGCGATGTTAAATTCAAAAGAAGTCAGCAGGGCGGAGCTGAATATATGAATATTTACCCCGCCTCCAATTACGTTCTAGTTTTGCTCCTGACGCTATCAGTATGTTATTTGAGAACTTAAATGTCGTTGTTAAGAAATCATCGTAAAAACGAGAAAATTGATTTTATTTTTATGCCTTACTACAATACAACATATCTACATGCACTTTATCATTTGAATAAAGCAAACATGTTGGAATATTTAGACAAAAAATCGAGTAATTGTATATCATTTATGATTAAGTTGAAAACTGCAAACCGTTCATTTTATTGTGAATTTGCATTCTGAAATGAATGACTGAAGTATAAAACCTACGATGTTCACTTTTGATTTTATTTTAATATCTTGTGTTATGTTTACATACTACGAGGATGTGGCTTAAAGCAAGATCAATCAATGGCTTAGTCATCCTACTAGTTATGGTATTGCATAATGCATTGTGAATTTCAGACGATTTTCATATTTTAAAAAAATCACTTCTTTTAACACTCGCAGCGAGTGCAACATAGAAAACGGACAAACCATGAGTCTTATTCTGATGGCCAGAATGAGTCGGGTTGTCAATTCTCAATTATCATCGTCAAAATGTTGTCAAAATAAAGACGACCACAACATTTGTTATTCAGAATTTTAAAGTTTTGGTTCTTCCCGACCCAATCCTCCACCATTCACAGTTGCTCCGCATACTTCCTTATAGTCACGTGATTAAATGGAATGAAACATGGAAAGATGGCGGAATTCCAGTGGAATAGTAATTCATAGAGATGCCTTAGTAAGGTTTTATTTTCATTCCTTTTGAACTTTTTAAATCGTTCAGTGTTGAGTTCGTGTTACTCGCCATATCACTTTATTAGTATAATCTATACCTTTTAGTAACATCCACGAGTGAACTTAATGATCGAACTGATTTTTATTATTTTACAGAGCAATATTTATACTATTTATTACAAACAACAAATAATATTATTGGCAGGAGTAGTACTTCTGTTTAAGCTATATATGGTACATAAGGCAATTTAAATAACGTCAATAACTGTTCCTTGGCTCTTAGCCGTGTGGGAACGGATACATTGATAAACTAAACTACGCACATACTATTTCCTTAACATGTTTTTGTGGTTTATGAGCATGACTCAACACCCCCACTTGCTCATCAACTAAATTAACAAATTAATATCTATTTACCAGTTATAAATGTTTTGAATCTACTTAATTAAATCTTATTTACAGCTTTCGTAAATATATCAGCCACATTTTCATGTGCTTCTACGTACATAATTTCTATTTTACCAGCCCTTATTTCACTTCTGATAAAGTGATATCTAATATCTATGTGCTTAGACTTTTTGTGGTACATAGGGCTCTTTGCTAAGTTAATTGCGCCCTGATTGTCAACATTCAATAAAACACACTCGCCTTCCTTACAAATACGCAAATCAACACACATCTGTTTCAAAAATTTTGCTTTCTGAATAGCTTCAGTCAATGCCATATACTCAGCCTCACAAGTTGACAAAGCAACTGTAGATTGCTTCTTACTCCTCAAAGAAACCAAACCACCGTTCTCACTCAACCTGAAACCGTAGCCTGAAATGCTACACCTGTCATCTGCGTCGCCAGCCCAATCAGAATCAGAAAAACCAACCAATTTTAAAACACTTTCACATTTTCTAAATGTAATTGTCTGATCTATTGTATCCTTTAAGTATCTGAGAACACGCTTTGCCTCTATTAGGTTTGCTTGTGTCGGTTTTGCCATCTTTTGAGACAGCTTTGTTACAATAAAACACAGATAAGATCTAGTTCCTGTCATAACATATATAGGACTACCGACAATTTGTCTGTAAAGACTCGGATCTTCTAACTGAGGCGATTGATCATGCGACATTTTATTTGTATCGGAAGATGATGGAGTGGGTTTGGGTTTACACTCCAACATGCCAAATTTTGTTAGTAACTTAATAATATATTGCCTTTGACTCATTGTTATTTCACTTTCTGAGCATTTGAATTCAGTCCCTAGGAACCAGAACAATATTCCTAAATCTTTCATCTTAAAACGGTCACTTAAGATTTTCTGGACACTTTGCATTAACGTGTCATTGTAAGCAACAATGACAATATCATCTACCCATACTATTAGAATAGTAACATCTTTTCCTTCAAATCGCGTGTAAACGCATGGGTCGACTAGTGATTGTTTGAAAGCTTTCCCTATTAAGTGTTCATGCAATACGTTATTCCAATTCCTACCACTTTGTTTTAATCCATACAAAGACTTTTTCAGCCTGTACACTAATTTTTCACCATTTTTATCTACTTCCTCATATCCTTCGGGTTGATGCATATAAATTTCGCAGTCTATTGGGGCGTTAAGATAAGCTGTTTTTACATCCATCTGATGCAATAACATGTTGTTTTGAACAGCGTATTGAAGCAATTCACGGATAGAACTCATGCGTGCAGTTGGCGAAAAGGTTTCGTTGTAGTCAATACCGGGAGTCTGCGAGTATCCCTTTGCTACATAACGGGTCTTTATGGGTCTCTTCTTCATGTTGCCCTACTTTTACGGTGTATACCCATTTTCCCCCCACTATGTCTCTATTTGTTGGGGGTGGAACAAGTTCAAACGTATCGTTGTCAATTAACGCTTTCCTTTCATCATTCATGGCTTTTTGCCATTTTACTTTTTCATTGGAGCTTATTGCTTGGGAATAGGTAGTTGTGATGTTGGATACTCTATAGCAATAATCTACGGTATATGAGACAGTTTCCTCCCCTGAAACTTCCTCTGTCACATACTCGTCAAGATATTTAGGCTTACTTCTTATCCTAGTGGGGTATCTTGATTCTCTAGATGTCTCTGGAGCAATAATGTCTTCGTTAGTTGTTTTGGGGTTTCTTTCATGCGATTTTGCTATCTGAGGTGCAAGTTCTTCATCATCTAGTTCTGGCAGTTCCTTGCTACCCTCCCTGAAGAACTTAACGCATCTTACACGCTCTACCTTGTTAATGTCAGGGTAGTATACTAGATATGCTGGACTATTTTTATCATACCCTACGAAAATACCTTGTTTACTTCTAGGGTCTAACTTTTCGGAATTTTGTGAATAACCATAACAAACACAATCAAAAACGTGCATTTTGCTCAAGTCTGGTTTTGAGCCTGTAAACGCTTCAAACGGAGTTTTGTTCAACCTCGAATTAAAACAACGATTCCTTATATAGGCAGATGCCATGACGGCATATGTTCACATGGATTTTGGTAGTTCCGCTTCTAGCAATAAACACCTAGCCATGTTAAATAGAGTTAACCACGATCTCTCAACTGTGCCGTTCTGGTGTGGCGAATATGGTGCACTAGTTTCATGCCTAATTTTGTTTTCGCTAAGAATCGATTTGAATTTCTCGCTTGTAAATTCAGTGCCATTATCACTTCTTATGCGCTTCACACTTCCGTAAGGTGCAACATCTGCTAAAAACTGTTTTAATGCTTGTGGTGTATCGCTTTTATGCTTAAGGAAATAGACCATATTCAATCCTGAATAATCATCCACAAACGACAATGCATATCTAAGCCCTTCTCTTCCTTCCGGATCAATAGAACCTGCAAGATCCGTATGAATAAACTCAAGAGGACTCCTCGCCTTTTTATCTTCCAGCTTACTTTTCGTCTGACACATTTTACCTTGCATACAAACCTCACACTCAACTTCCCTCAAATCTGTGATTTTCATCCCCTTAACCACCTTCTCTAGTTTCCTAACATCCTTGTAGTTGCAGTGACCTAGAACCTGTTCCACTCGTAAAGAGAACATGCATTTTTATTCGAAGATGATATGCTATTTATATAGTAAAGTTTGCCTTTTTGTCTTATTCCAAACGTTGTGCCATCAGGGCACTGTACATGCTTATCGTTTTTATCTAATTTGACTTTTGCCCCCTTTTCTACGGCAGCATTTACTGAGAATATATTTTGATCGTAAGATGGAACATATAAGGCATTACTTAATAAGACATCCTGCGCATTTCCATGCAAGTCAATTAATTTGACTTTAGCAGTACCTTTACCGACTACTACGTTGGCTTTACTGCCATCTGCTAATTCAATAACATGCGCTTTACTATCAAATTTACTATCAAAATCTATAAATTTTGACTTATCGGTAATAATGTGGCTTGTAGCTCCTGTGTCCACCAGTAGAGTGAAATTCGCTTGATCCTTATTCTTCACGTCTGCTTCAGCATTCTCTTCTTCATCCTTTGACACGAATAAGAAGGAGTGTTGCCGTTCGCTGTCACTGCTCTGCTCGTCTTTAGCAGACTTGGACGTTTCTTTCGTCTTTCGGCAATCTTTCGTGTCGTGGGTCTTGGTCTTGCATATGGAGCACCATTTGTTCCCCTTCACTCGGCATTGTGAGCTTTTGTGTCCCTTTCTTCCACATTTGAAACAATTCCCGTCGAATTTTGGTTTCACATACATAACGTTGTCACCCACCTCAGTTTTGGTGACAATGGTTTGATATTTTCTTCATGACTTCGTAACGAGTTCTTAAATTCCGTAAATGTCATTTGTCTTTCCCTTTGAACTGTTACGGTAGCAAAGACGTCATACGTGCTTGGCAGACCCTTTAAAACCATTGCAATGAGTAGTGCATCACTTATTATCTCCTCGGCTTCTCTTAAGGCTGTTGCCGATCGTTCCGCTCGCAATATATAATCTGTGACAGTCTCGTCGTCACTTTTCTTCAGCGAAGTGAGTTCCGTGTAAAGAGCGATGATGCGAGGTTTTCCTCTGCCTTGATAGTGATCTCTGAGGATTTCTAAAGCTCTTCGTCTGTTCTTTTTTGCCTCCCGAATCACAAGAGACAAACTTCTGTCGTCAAGACATTAGACCAACTCTGCAAAAGCGTCAGCCAGTTTTGAAGCTGCTGGTTCTTCTCTCTCACTTGCTGATTCGATAAATACGTCGTACAGTTTTTGAAGACGCATATAGCCCAAGAATTTTACTTCCCATAACTCGTATTTGCTTTCGCTTCCATCGAAAAGCAAACCTCTCCTGGGCCCATAACCTGTTAAGTTCGTGTTACTCGCCATATCACTTTCTTAGTATAATCTATACCTTTTAGTAAACACCACGAGTGAACTTAATGATCGAACTGATTTTTATTATTTTACAGAGCGGTATTTATCCTATTTATTACAAACAACAAATAATATTATTGGCAGGAGTAGTTCCTCTGTTTAAGCTATATATGGTATATAAGGAAATTTAACTAACGTCAATAACTGTTCCTTGGCTCTTAGCCGTGTGGGAACGGATACATTGATAAACTAAACTACGCACATACTATTTCCTTAACATGTTTTTGTGGTTTATGAGCATGACTCAACATTCAGTCATGCAGAAGAACGTGAAAACAAAGAACGTGTTCCTATCTGGTGCTTTACAAAGAATTCTACTCGATAAAGAAACAAAAAAGTCTCATCATTCACAACTAAAGAAAGCTTGCGAAACGGCTTTAGGTATAAATCCATAAGTAATGATTGTAGTTATTGCTGATGTATTTGGATTCTATTTGCTCTATGTTTTTATGCATTGTCAACCAGTTTCTGCATTTGCTATCAACAAAACATTAAGTGTAGTAATCCCTCATTCAGGATGTCAACGAACGCTGTCGATAGTATCTTTAAAATTGCTCAATGTATGATTTGTACTTTTTTATACGTGGCAAACAGTTATTTTTTATTGTCAATGGCTTGTTCATGTTCTTCTGCTTGAGTTATATGTATATATGTTTATGAAGAAATGTATGTCAACATGTGCAATGAATATAATGTACTGCTATGTTCAGGAATGTTGCTTTACAAAATGATCGCTTTATGATTTTGATCTATTCTAGAGGAAATAAACGCTGTTCAAGAAAATGAAAAATCTACAGGGTAAGTTTTATTATGTAAAGTTGTCCAATTTTCTTTCCAATTTTCCAATTTTAACATGGCCAAAATGAGTTATTAACCTTGAATCTTAATTAATTCACAATTATATCCAGACTACGCATTCTCACAAATTTACTGAGTTTTATTGTTCATAAGTTAGATTTATAAGCCAGAAGGTTGGTTTGATTTATTTATAATAAAATCTTCAGGAATGTTTCTTCTGCAACTCTACCTCCACTACCTGGTCAGCAAACATTCAAAACAGCAGATCAATATTTTCTTCCTTTTGAGTTGGCTTGTGAAACAAAATGTGCCAGGATTGTCACCATTGCACTTGACTGTATACAAGTAAGTTGTTTTTGTTTGATGTTCAAAATAAACGACGTTAAAACTGCTGCGTAAGGATATTATATCTTTTCATTTTTAAATTTTAATTACTTTTCTTACACTGAAACAATCATTACTGACTGATAATCACTCAATTGAAAACAAGGCATCTTAGGCTCCGTCCACACGTATCCGGATTCGTCCGTATCCGCAAATATTTTGTTGTGGTTACGCTTATCGTCCACACGTATCCAGCGATAACGCCTACTGTAACTGCAAACTTTTGAAAACGGTCTCCAGATTGGAAACTTTTGAAAACGCATCAAATCCGGACACGTGAGGACACACTGTAACCGAAATGATTTAAAAACGTTGACGTAAATTGATGAAATATAATATCTACCTACGCACCGCTGCCCTAATCCAATCCACATTTATCATGCGTTATCCTATGCATTAAAATGGCGCCTAAAGTCATTGTATTGATTTTAACTGTTCTATTTTCGAGCAATGTTGCCTTTATACGATTTATTTTTGCCGTCTTACATTATCTAACGTATTATGGAAAGAGGGAGAGCAGTTTGATTAGGCTCCTTTCAATGCCAGTGGTCAGAAATGTGTCCTAAAACATTTTTGTTATTCTATATTCTAAAACGGATCTCAGTAAAAGGTCCACTTCATCGTCTGTCCACATAAAAGCTTCATTCTTACTACTTTTTTTTTAATAACGTGATGCACTAGCTTTTGTCGGATAATTCGACATTTTATAGCCAGCTCATTATTCGTAAAAGCGCATGCTCTATAAGCAATAATTGGATATTTGTATCGTTTTCGCGGCTACGTGTGGACACACAAAAACGCATCAAATTTGCATACATGTGGACGTGTAAAGTTTTGAATCCGGAACAAAATGTTTACAGCTACGTGTGGACACACAAAAACGCATCAAATTTGCATACATGTGGACGTGTAAAGTTTTGAATCTAGAACAAAATGTTTACAGGTACAAATGAATCTGGATACGTGTAGACAGGGCCTTAAATTCACTACCATAAATAATCCCTCGTGGCTTTGGCTATGTTCTAAGACGGTTAGAGTTAATAACTTGTGTCCTATGGGATTAAGAGACCCTCACGTTAGACAAAATTCACTCTATTTAATCCTTGGGACTCTAAATCTCATAGAACACACGTGATCATGCTCTAACCCTTACCACAGAATATCACTCGTGTCGGAACCTTTGATGATTTTGTCCTCGCGCATGTCGTGCCGCATATGCTGGCCGCCATTATTCCAGCCAGATGATTAAAGTTTTTGACTTTTCCTAAACCTTTAAAATGATCCGAAGTCATTTCTCAAGTCAAAATATACTTGAATTCATTATTCAGTGGCTGGAATAATGGCCGACATGAGAACGCGTTGTACACCTGAGTGACCCTTCTGAATAATCATTACTCTGTGCCCAAATCTTTCAATCTGTAGTTGTCAATATAAAGAGACTACGTCTTGATCTCATTCAACGCGTTTAACTAAAAAAATCGTTAAAATCTTACGATTTCTTCTGCGTTTTAATGTCGTTATGCAAAAGTAACGATGCATGATGTTGTAGGGTAGGTTTGGATTCATGAGACCTTAATGAATTTAAAAACTAGACTTTAATTTTAACCAAATCTTCATAGAATCTTGCAGTCATATCTTGATAAGTTAAGGTTCTGAGAATGGTTTATAGGCGTTCTGATTGACGTCACCAACATCTTCAAGCCCAAAATCATAATATTAGCACAGAATCATGACTATACAGAAGGGTCACTCAGGTGTTCAACGTGTCCTTACAACGGCCATTATTCCAGCCAATTGATTAGGTTCTGTTACTGGTTTCCAACCATTAAAATTACATGACATCAATACTTAATAATGAATTCGAGAATATTTTGACTTTAGAAATGACTTTGGATCATTTTGAAGGTTTGGAAAAAGTCAAAAACCCTAATCAACTGGCTGTATTAATGGCGGCCACCATGCGCGGCGCGACATGCGCGAGAAAAAAAACAACAAAGGTTCCGACGCAGGTGACCATATACTGGGAAAATGGTTTAAGGGCGTTCTCATTGACTTCACCAACATCTTCTAGCCCAAAATTCTAATATTAGCGTTATTTAATAGGCTAAATATGTTTAATTAATGAATAATTGACGTAATATCACAGAATAATGGTCAATTGTTACTAGCATTTCATATATATTAATGTAAGGAGAGCATAGTTTTTTTGTTTGGCAAAAATACGTTTTGATTTTAAAAATTAGATTTTATAGATATCCCGTAATTTGTTCAAGTAAAAACTGTGAGTTTTAACCCTCTAGAGGCAATTGATGCTCACAGGCAACAATCACCAAACGAGATGTGTAAAAACTTTAAAAAAGGCACGGCTTCCAGAGGGTTAAACAATATTGTGGAACAAATACATAAAATGACATGCTTAACAGTATTTATAAAGATACTATTCACTTCAAGCCACAAGGCGTCATGAAAAGTAAATATTGTTCATATGAGATTGAACAAGACTTTACACATAGACGACAAGTGTAAAGATTTGTGATTGTGCCAATCAAAATAAAGTTGTTTCCTTCAACTGTCATCGATGACAAGTTAATTGAAAGCCACGATGTACAGATATATACTATCAGTATCACATCCTAAATATTGATAGCAGCAGCAAAAAGAAATTTGAAAGAGGAAAACTCTTATGAAATGTGTGACACACGTAGCTACTTGTTTCGATATCATGTATGAAAATAAATCCTACGACTGGAAACTTCCAATGTAAGTGACTATCTTGTGAAGATCTCAATGGTTTTTATTGATGCTGCTGATTTTTGGTTTTTTTCTTCAATGTGACATTAGTTATAACTGAATAAATGCAATGAATATAAATACACTAAATTTGCCATCTGTCTCCAATGCAGTATGTGGTTCAGTGCATAAAAGTGCAGTTTTCATAGATTAAGGTGTAGTTTTGCAATGAATGAGAACCGTAATTGTTTTTCTGCTCATTTTTCTACGACTCTCTACTATAATTTTAGTAGTGATATCTCGGGGAAAACAGAACCTCCTTAAATACGTTCTTAACCTTAACTTAGCATTATATGATTGCAACATTCAATAAATACTTGGACAAAATTAAAGTCTAGTTTATAAAATCATTATCGTCTCATGAATCTTAACCTACAACATCATGCATCTTTGCTTTGCATAACGACATTAAAACGCAAAAAAATTAGTAGATTCTAATGAATTTTTTTGTTAAAATGAATAGAAGGATTACTTACTGTCTTTGTAAAAGGTGAAAAGCTCCTAAAGAGCCAATCACAATAAGAATTTTAGTCATGACGTAAATTAAACAAATGTTAACAACGGAAAATTATTCACTTTAATGTTGTAAAAAGTAATGTGAATTTTTTCTTTTTACTGACGAAGTACTGAAGTATGTGTTGCATGGAATAATCAACTACTCTTAATGGTAGGCCTCGTAATATGAAAGCTTTCAATGTAAAATGCTTTGATAACGATGTAAAACCTTTGATCGTTTGAAACTTGTTACATCTTTCAAACTTAACCGGCTAAAGCTATTCGTGCAATGTTGGTGAATGTTCTACCATTTGGGTAGTCAAACAGAAAACATATAACAATTTGCTCATTCTCAGTATATCTGATCAAGAAATTAAAAACGCAAACTAACGTCATATGCAGAGTTATTCATCATGAAATCTTTGGCATGTGTTTCATATTTTCTTATGTTGTAGATCACACATGGAAGGAGTTGTGAAAGTACCTTTACTACCTGTGTTATTCACTTCACCTACTCTTACTGGTTTGTCATTACTCATGATTCATGGTGATGCATGGCCAAAAGTGTTCATTTGCAGTTTGTTCATATAATGATAATGGGCCCCATTGTTATATGAGCCCGCCTGAAGGTGATCAGCTGAAATTCATAGAAGATGAAATCTGCACTAAGCATTCTTTAAGTGATGATATAACTGGGGTATTGAAGTGATCCCTTTTCCTTCACTTGAAGTTACCATAAGAGTGCATTGTAAACAGTAATCTATCGAAATGGTGATTCATATTACCAGTAGCCCCTTTATTGGTTACGTCGATTACTTTGTGTATGGAATGGTATAAACATATTGAATAGACATTGCATAACGGCATATGTACGTGTGAACATTAACGTTGAAATGATTGGACTATAATCGACGAAGATGGAAACAAGCGAGTGGAAATACATGATCCATGCCTCGTGGTTTGTAAGTTGAGTAGATAAGTTTTAAAATTAACTTATAGCTATGAGTAACTGCATGAGATATTCATAAAGGATCCTGATGGTCTATTTTTATAATTTGAACCATAATCATGAAAAGCAACAATATTAGGTAAAAAAGTCAAAAAAAGATGTCAATTGCTGTGAGAAAATAGCTGGCTTTCACTCGCTACTTTTTACTAATTTTATTAAACGTTTTTAAACAAAATTGTAATGTGCAAGTAGGGTTCATTGATTTTTTAAGATAAAAATGTTACGATATACACGTTATGATATACACGTAAAAACTGCGCTGTGAAAAAAGTGGAAGAGACTTACTAAGACGCCTGGATCAGACGGACCAGTACAATGCTTGAAAATCAGGTATTAAAGTTTTGTTCTTTTCAAAATATATAATTTCTGATTTTATTCATTCTTTATTCTCACATTTATAATGCGTTTTTTTTATATAGTAGCTATGTCTGTAGGCCTAATAACTAGACATAGAATGAACGATCAAGTTGGACAGAAGCACGAAGAAACAAGCGTCCTTATTGAAAGATTCCCACTTGCGATTTTCGTTATGCATACAATTAATCAGTATAACGCATTTTTAAATTCAACCGTTAAGAATTTCCGTAAAACTAAATTTTCACAATTGTCAAATTTTCGGACAAAACACACGAGTGAAAGCCGGCTATTAATAAAGGTCTTTTCTGATTGAAGAACTTTTGATTAAATGAAATCTAATAGACATCAAAAATAATTTGTATGCAAGTCACGACGTCACTTTGGTCATTTCATTTCATTGTTATTGGTAAGTGAATGATCAGGTCCAACGTAGTGAATGAATTTTTCATATTATTTATGTATGAGCTGCTATTAGTTTTAAAAGTAATAGCAGCTCATACATAAAGACAAGTTTGTCAAAAGAGATCCTGACTCACTCTTTATCTTCGTTCGTTATTTAAATGTGTTTATGTAACAAAAACTTACATGGACAAAAGATTGATGTAACAATAAGGTATGAACTATAATCACCATTTTTCAACTGATATGAATGTGGTCGCGTTGTTTATATTAAATCTCTCATCCGTTTGTTGAGTATGTGACATGTAAAGAACTAAAGCAAGCATAATTTTGTTCACACGGTCGTCTTACTTCTAAAACGGAAGTAATTTTAGAAAAATTAATTGATATTTTAGAATTACATTACCGACATAAAAAATTAGCTAAAGCAGCATCTCAATAAAAAATGACTTTGCACGCATGAGAAATCATATCTAAAGTCATGTAACGGCTTTCTAACAATTGGCAATAAGCTGCATGGTAAATAAAGCAAAACCTGTCCAATGGTATGGGGTAGGTGAAATAGTATACTTGTCTATGGAAAAAATGTTAATCAGTGAAAATTTATGTAGGGAGGAGAGCATGTCCAATCATGCATCACCTCCCTTTTTTGCCGACGCCACTTTTGACTAATCGCTGTGTGTCTAACAAAATGTTATTAATTGTATTGAGCAAATCATTCATTTCAAAAGTAAGAACATTTGTAAAATAAGCAAATGTGGAACACAAGAGAAAGAACGCAACCCAATCTATTTTTGTGAAGTGTTGATTCATGGTGCACAGTGAGCTTTTAAAATTATATTTTTGATAATGTTTTTTTAACTTTTTTAAGGTTTACTTTCATTGCAACCTTTACTGTTGTATCTAAAGTGTCTTTTATTGAATATAATATTTATAAATGCGTGCAGTTGATGTTTGACATGTATTTATAATTTACAATGGTTTATTCAATAACAAAGATTTTAGAAATATGAACTGACTTATGCAAGAATATACATGTATAGATTTTTCATTAATGAGGGGAAAACCATTCACATTTTCGAAAATCGTGTCTTAATCATTGGCATTCAAATCCTGTCTTAGATAAGTGATTCTCTATTCCTAAGTTAAAACTTGTGAAACTTTATGAGATTTAGCTGTAGTCCTATGGAATTTGAGTAATCTCAATGTTATTATGTACTTTGTATGAGGTTCTTATTTATGTATTTTTATTTCTATAACAATTGTTTTTAGTCAGTGATGTATACTTAGTTATATAACTAGAATGTTCTACATAGATATTATTAATGTTTTATAATACTGTTTGTTAAAGGAGATCCTGACTTACTCTTCATCTTCGTTCGCTTTTCAAAAGTGTTTATGTCACAAAACTTACATGGATAAAAGATTGATGTAACAATAAGGTATGATATATGATCACCATTTTTTAAACTGATATGTATGTGGTCGCGTTCTTTATATTAAATCTCTCATCTTTGTAAAGTATGCTACATGTAAAGAACTAAAGCAAGCATAATTTTTCCTACACTGTCGTCATATATAAGGTCTTCTAAAACAAAGGTAATTTGTCGAAAGTAAAGCGAGATTTTGAAAGTATATTACTAACTTTACAAAACCAATTTGCTACTGAAGCATCTCGATAATGTTTGAGTAAACATGAGAAATGTTGATAGTTGTATACAACAAACCATTTCTTTTAAAAGTAAGAAAAGTTAAAAAATAAGCAAAAGTTAAACTCGGGAAAAATGTATTTACACACAGAAGAAGAACGCGACCGAATCTATTTTTTGTGAGATGTTGAGTCATTTAGAACAGACCTTTCAAAATTATAGTTTTGATCATATGTTAGTTTGATAGTATTAAGGTTTACTTTCATTGCATACTTTCAAACACTATACATATACCTTTACTGTTATATGTATAGTGTTTTTTATTGATCAGAAGTAATTAGAATTGCGTGTAGTTGATAATTAAAATGTATTGATAATTTACAATGGGTTATTCAATAACAAAGGTCTTTTTATAATATGAACTGACTTTTACAATAAAGGAATTTTTGATTAACGAAGTGGAAAAATCCATTAAAAAATTCAAAATATTTGTCTTAATCATTCACATTCAAATCCTATTTTAAATAGATGATCCTCTATTCCTGAGTTGAAACTTATTAAAATTTATAAGATTTAGCAGTAATCCTTTGAAATTTGACAAATCTCAATGTTATCATGTAATCTGCATGAGGTTCTTATTTATGTATTTTTATTTCTATAACAATTGTTTTTAGTCAGTGATGTATACTTAGTTATATAACTAGAATGTTCTACATAGATGTCATCAATATTTTATAATACTATTTTTTGAAGGAGATCCTGACTCACTCTTCATCTTCGTTCGTTATTTAAATGTGTTTATGTAACAAAACTCATATGGATAAAAAGTTTATGTTTCAATAATGTATGAATGTTTCAATAATAAATGATCACCATTTTTTAACTGATATGTATTTAGTCGCGTTTTTTATATTAAATCTCTCATCTTTTGTTAGGTACGTAACATGTAAAGAACTAAAGCACGCATAATTTTGTCCACAAGATCGTCGTATATGAAGTCTTATTTCTAAAACAAAAGTAATTTTACGTAAGTTAACCGAGATTTTGTATTTACATTTCTAACTTAACAATATTTATACTGAAGCATTGCGTTGTATGAAGTATGACTATAAACAAATTAGGAAATTGAACGAGACTTACCTGAAGTTAAAGTCCCATTGGGATTCTATTAGCACATACAGATCAGAGATTACACGAGAGATACTACGCATGCGCACATTGGTCATATTTTAAAGATAGTGGCCACATGAACTACCTAAATGTGCATATGAACGATATGCAGGGAGGCAGTAACATGACGTGTAATCTCTGCGCTGTAGATGCTAAAAGAATCCCGATCGAACTTCAACTTCAGGCAAGTCTCGTTCAATTTCCTAATTCTATTAGCATCTACCGCAGAGATCCCACGAGATTTGAAAGTCATGTTGACACACTTCAGGCCTACACGCAAATACGCCATTAAGTTATAAACTTAATTCAATTGAGGATGTGTCAAACATACCCAGAAATAGTAACAAATATGAATTTAAAGTATTTCCTTCTCTTGCATTATACATGTAAGTATATATGTTCTGAACTCCCTGCCAAGCTCAACTAAAGAGAATTCTCATCCAATATCTTTCTTATTGGGACGCTGAAAGAATGGCATTCCCAAACTCCACATCGCCACACTGAGACATAACTTTCTTATTGTAAAACCGATGAAAAACGAAATCAGTCTTCCAACTTGCAGCTTTCAGTATAGAGTTTATCGAAACATCACATTGCTTCGCTTTACTGGTGGCTGCGGCTCGTGTACTATGTGGTTTGAACGTTTCTATATCAATTCCTGGAGCTTGCATGACAACCTTTATCCAACGAGATATAGATGACTTTGATACTTTATGAAAGGGTCGAATTGTGCTAAGAAATAGTTGATTTTCCTCACCACGAATGGGAGCAGTGCGTTTAAAATATTCTTCCATGACTGAGGCAACACATAGTCTGTGATCGGCAGGGAACTTTGGTATCACTAAAGTAGGATGAATGCGTGTTGGTCCAGACTATTTGACAAGTTGGTCGATATAGAAGGTGTATGAGTCCTCTTCCTTCTTTACAGTTAAGAGGTTCATGAGGTGGAGTGATTGGGCACGCTTCCCTGTGACTAATGCACAGAGCATTACCAACTTATGAGTTAGCTGTTGTAGGGTTAAGTCTTCTACTGCGGGATGTGTCTTTAAATACTCTAATACAATGGAGGTATCCCAGGTCACTTGATATCTTGGTAATGCTGGTCTAGAATGGAACACTCCCTTCATAAATCTCTGAACCATGTAATGTGTACCAATCGTAGAATTCCCTTCAGTAATAACGAATGAAGATAACATACTTCGAGCAGTGTTAATACAACTGTAACTCATCCCTTGATCAAATAGATGCTGTAGAAAGTCTAGAACTACCTGTAAAGTTGGATGAAAGGGATCTGCATTCCGTTTATTAACATAGAGTTGCCACTTGTTAAGGTACACCTGATATTGTTTTTGTGTTTCTGGCCGCCAGGAATTAAGTATTTTTGCTTGAGCATGTGGTAAAATGCCCTTACTTGAGAGTGATCTCCGGATAAGAGACAAGCTATCAGTCTCAGTCTCTTTTTGAGTGGATGTTCTTTTGTTTGATTGGATGGTAAGCTTACGTTGCTTTTGTTTTTGGGTAGGATAATGGGTGGGTGAATTATTAATCTTGCATGCATCGGATACCAGGATTGAATTGGCCAATTCGGCACGATAAGAATTGTCCGTGCATGGGACATTTCTACTTTTTGCAAAACTTGTGATATAACACTAAAGGGTGGAAAAGCATAAAGAAAGAACTTACTCCAATGAATGCATAAAGCGTCAATAACCCACGCCTGTAGATCTGGGTGCCACGAAACATAAGGTTTAAGTTGATAGTTTAGTCTAGAAGCAAACATATCAATTTCTGGGGTCCCAAAATATGCTGCTATTTAAGGAAATAATTCAGCATCAAGCTCCCATTCTTTGGATTCATCAAATGTTCTGGAAGTTTCGTCAGCCACCACATTAATTTTCCCAGGGATTTAGCTAACAGTTAACAATATGTCCCTTATTCTGCCCCACGCCCATATTTCCCTTGCAATTTTATTGCAATGGTGAGAGTGGCAGCCCTCCATGTGGTTAATATATGTAAGGACCGTGGTGTTGTCGGTCATTACTTTAATGTAACAGGTCACAGTTTTCGGAGCGTTTTAGCTCTTCCTTCCGTTTTGACAATGTTTGTTCGTTTAGTCCAGTGGACAAAATGCTGTTCGGGATTTTAGAAATTTTAGTTGGCAATGGTTGATCTGTCGGTTCATTCTCAGTCAATACGTGTATCAGCTCATCTAACAAAGTATCGCTTGGTTTTAATAGAGCTGGAGCTGTATCTGCAACTACAGCAGCAGCCCCGTTGGTTGATTGTTCGTCGTCAGTTTAAGCTTCAGACATAACATCACCATCGTTCATTTGGCGTGCGGCATCATAAGCTTGCTTGAGCTCTTTTACGACAGGAGCAAAAGTATTCATCAAGCCAGTAAGTTGATCGACTTTCCTGTTAAGGTCGTCCAAAGTAGTTCTCCCGTCATTTCCTTCTTCTAGGAGATTGTTGTTGTTGGCTTTAGCAGGGTGTTTATACCCGCCCCCACCAGATTTGCTCATTTTCCCTTGTAGACGAGACTGTTTCTGTTGCGGTTCATCGTCTACATTCACGTCTCCTAATAAGCCCAACAGCGTCGGATTAGGATGGTTATGCAAGAGCGTCAGGTCGTCTCCTTGCTCAATTGTTTCGCTGACTTGTGCCATTTGTTGTTGAATAGATTATCTAACCACAGAAAAAGAGTTTGCCGCGCAAACTCAGTGGTTATGGAGGTGTTTTGTCCTGTATTGTTTGCTAAAACTTTTTTGTCGTTCTACACAGCAGGATGGAAAATGATTTTATGGATTATTTGTATATGACCAAACACGCCATCTGTAATGGCGGTGAGCTACGTTCAGAATGACCAATGTGCGCATGCGTAGTATCTCTCGTGGGATCTCTGCGGTAGATGCTAATAGAATCAATGTTTATTTCCATTCTTAATGAAAATCGTTTGAATGTTTCTATAATTGATTTTTAAAGCTATCATTAATACCACGACTGGAAAGTATGTCTCATTTTTTGTTTCAAATTATCCACTATAAAAATTGCGGCTCTTACACAAAGAAAAGATTTGATAATAAATAATTCTGAGTCAGTGATGCGCTTGACATTCACAGATGCCACGTCATAATGAGACATTTCTTTTTAAATAAATTAATCTTAAGTAAACAGTACAATGTACAAATGTAAAGTAAAGATTAGGTTCCAGGGATCAAAATGAACTCATGATAACGTATATATTTCATCATCAATCATTATTTTTCAATATAATTAAACTTAAGTAAACAATACAATGTAGAAATGTAAAGTTAAGATTAGGTTCAAGGGGTCAAAATGAACGCCAGATAACGTACATATTTCATTATCATTCATTTTGCGCGTAATTTATTCTTAGATGAACTTTGATTTAGCATGTACACTGAGAAACTGAAATCAAGATACTTGTTTTGTTTTCCAACGTGTCAAACTGTTTTAGTTACATGAATTAAATCGTGCAACAACACAAAGTCGAGAAATTTCACAGATTGTCAGGCCAGGCCCGCCGTGAGTTGATAGGCAAGGGGGCATTTTGCCTTGGGCAAGTAATATAATAGAGGCCGATGCCTCCCCATTTGGACACATGAAAATTGCAAAATTGAAGTTTATAGAAAAAGTAATGAATGATTTGTGTATTATTTGTACTTTTCTTTCGTTATCTCATCATGCAGAAGACATTCATCAATTGTTAAGTTTTTAGAAATTCTCGTAGCGTCTTCAAACGGAATCACCCTTTAAGTGTTATCAATATGAGCAGGCATGTGGCTAGAATGTAAAATTTGTGGGAGCAACAACATTTTTTTTGGGGGGGAGCAGTTGTAGACATCAAGTTATACTGTATTATAACAATAACATAATTTATCACTAGTTAGTTTTTGTGGGTAGCTGCTGTGCATGCACGGCTAACCACTATGCAATACTTAAAAAGTGTCTGAGTGAGGCAGTGAGGCAGGCAGTGTTTGTTCGTCGTGATATCCTCGGCTGTGTCATCGGTGATAGTTGCATATGCGAACGATCACATATAAAATTGTTTTAAGTAAAGTCAATACTTATGTTGTTCTTCAATTACCATAGCTTTACAGCGTATAAACTGCACTTTGTTTTAGTGACTATAGTCAAAACCGTGCAGCTGAAAATATCATTCATTTATACGCTTTACTGGTGATTGCGGACGTCAAATATATCCTATTGGGGACTACTGCAGTTTAGCGGACACCTTGGACGCTGACCCAAACTCTACCTGTTATCTTTAACAAAAATGAGCCCGCGATTAGAAGCGCTTCCGGTGTCCGCTAAACTGCAGTCTAGCAAAAATTTAAGTTGAAACAAAATCATCAGCAATATAGTCCTATCAAAATGTTAATAAGCAAATATTCATACAACACAGCAAACCAGTTTGATATATCCTGTTAAAAGAACGACGTATCTCTTCACCACACGATTGTTAGACAAATAAGATATATTATTTATTAACTAGGAGTTACTATTGCAAGGTAACTGCTGCCTCTCGCGCCAAGTAGGCGAAATTATTATCATTTTAAGTGTTTTTTCATTGTATCAAGTCCACTATTTTAATGCCTTGATGTAAGATCAATTACTGGGTCATGTCACTAGGCAGTGAACACAATTTTTATCGAGAAAAAGAAATGAACCACACAAGTCTTTATAAATGACTTGTAGTACTATTTTTAATTCATCCTTTTAACATTTGTAAACATTTTGTACATTTTATATTATACCTTTTTTCACAAACTCATTCCTCATTTCTAGAATAAAAAATGGTTTCGCCACCTAATAAATTAAAGATTGAGTAATATGGATCTTGTTGTTCTCATTTTGTACATTGCAAATTGATGCTTTTTGCACAAACTCTTTCTTCATTTCTAGCTTGAAAATGGCTTCACCGCCTCAAAAACTGAAGTTTGAGGCAAACGGATCTCGTTTAAGTAAACTTTTAATCAATAAAGGAACACAAGCTTTGAAAATAACATTGCAAATCATTATAAACCTTCAATCATCAAACTTAAAAGATAAACTTAATGATCCTTCTACAAAGAGTAAATTGACACCACTAAAGTTCAAAGTCATCAGCAAAGAGCAATGGAACCTTCTTTACCCATCAACTGGCTCACCTGACATTGAAAACTTTGATATTTCATTATTGACTGTCTTATTGCGTAACATATGTGGTCTAACAGCGCCACATAGTGGATGGAATAATCTTCCTTCCTCTTCAGATACTTCAATCTCAGCAAACATTGCAAGAATAAAGTTTTATCGAAACGAAGTGTACGGTCACATAGCTAAAACTAGTGTAGATGACAGTGAGTTTGAGTACTTGTGGCAGGAAATTTCAAAAGCATTGGTTGGTTTGGGCATTCAACAAACTGAAATAGATGAAGCAAAGAAAGCTCCTCTCAGTCCTGATGAGGCAAATCATATTGAAATATTGAAAAACTGGTATGAAAAAGAAAAACAGTTGATCGATGTCGCTGAGGAAACTAAAGAGGTTGTAAAAGAATTAAAAAAAGAATTTGAATTTATAAAAAATAAATTTGATGTAGCAGGAGCAGATGTGAAGAAGCTTGGAAAGTGTAATTTTAACGGTCTTATAAAAGATCTTAACAAAAAATACTTTGAAGGCACTAGACAATGGTTATTTGAAAAACTCGACACTTGGTTTAACGATAAAAGTGAAGATGCTTCTAACGTCATGATTTTGATTGCCGGTCCTGGTGTTGGTAAAAGTGTGTTTGCTGCTGAGGTGTGTCGACGATATTCTGGAAAGAAGAAACTTGCTGCTTGTCATTTCTGCAGATATAATAGATCAGATTATAGAAATCCTCGAGTTTTGATAGAGTCATTGGCTAGTGCCATGTGTGATACAATATCAGATTTTAAAAGTAAACTGAATGAAGAATTACAGAGAAACCATTCCAAACAATCGATCACCGATAAATTCCTTGTTTTATTATATAATCCATTGCATTCATTAGAAGATTATGAACCAATGCTTTTGGTTATTGATGCCTTAGATGAAAGCCAAGTTGACGGCAAAAGTGAATTGTTGGAATTGATTGTAGAAGAGTTTGACCGACTGCCTAAATGGATTAAAATCTTCATCACCAGTCGTCCAGAACTTCCTGTTCAAAAAGAGTTGAAAGACATGAATCCTGTGGAAATTACAACTCGTCCTCGTGATGAAAACAACGAAGAAGACCTGCACAAGTATTTGAGACATCAAATGAATGATCAGGTGCAGAAAAATCGCTACCTTCTTCAATCGTTAGTTAAAAAATGTGAGGGATCATTTCTTTACGCTTATCACGCACAACTAAGCTTAAAGAAAGAAGAAATTGAGCTTACAGACGAAAAAATTGAACAATTGGTCCCTAGTGGGTTAAGCGGTGTTTACACAAAGCAATTCGAAAGAGTAAAAGAATTGTTAACGAAGAAAAGTACCACAAAATCTGTTATCTCAGAAACTAACTTCATGCAATTTCTTGAATTGTTGGCTGCCTGTCGGGAGTTTTACCATTAACTTTCCTGTTTAGCTATTTAGGTTTTCTGATGACATCAAGTTTGAAGTCCGCAGTAAAATCATTGAACTGTTATCTCAAATTTTGCCAGTTTACAATGATTATTTAACCGTGTATCACAAATCTCTAATTGATTGGTTAAAATCAGATGGTTACGAACAGCATGAGTTTACAGTTGATCCAAAAAATGGTCATAAGTTTTTATGGCATGCTTGTGAGAAAGTGTTTAAACAAATTAAGTGGATGAACATTTTTGAAGATCAGATGGACACTGCTATGATTAAATATGCTTTGAAGAATGGAGTCCACCATATGATAGAATGTGGCGAAAATGTTGACTTTAGCTGGGCAGTAGATGTCAAAGTGGTTTGTGCAAGGTTAATGGGTGTAGAAGACATTGGCATACATACCATTGACTCTGAATTGCGTGAAATCATTAAGGAACGACGTACTTTCTTGAAAAAGATGTACTTGAAGAGCTACTATTTCATTTATTGATGAAGTCAATGAGAATGAGATATAAGTTTGATCATAGCTTAATTTATTTACAAATTATTGCAAACAGAATTGATAGCAAAACGAAAGAAGATTATTGGCAAGGGATTTATTGAAACAAGGAAAGTTTGTTTGGTTTGAGGATTTAGACTCAACATATTTAACAAACCATCATCATTTGACTGTCTCCTTGCGTGCTAACGTTACATCTCTTTGTGTGTCGTCCAATGAAGAACTTCTTGCTGTAGGATATGAAAATGGTCAAATATCTATTTTGAACTTCCTGAATTCGAACAACGATGCACTCTTGGCACTGCACTCGATGATTCAAGGTTGGTAAGTTAAATGTAAGAAAAATTATGTCCCTGTATGACATCTATGACAATTCAACAACATCAAACGAATCGTGTTTTGTACGTGGAAACATCTGTTGTTGCTCCTTTTCACCAACCGGAAATAGACTGGTAACTAGTGATGGATCTGCTGAAGTAAAGTTGTGGGACGTTAACAATGGACGTTTGTTATCATGTTTACAGTCTGATGGTGACGTTAATCGTTGCTCTTTCTCAGATTCTGGTTTGTTTATTACAGCAAGAAATGATGGAGGTTTTCAGTTTAAATTCACTGCATGGAATTCATTAACTTTGCAAAGAATTGATCGACGCTGCGTTGTTGATTACCAAAAACTACAATGCACCGATAAATATTCAGAGTTCTTTGTTACAGTCTTTGGATATCGTTCGTATGTTTTTCAATTCCCAAAGGCAATCGATATTTTTGCAAGAAAAAATAGGTATTCACTATCTTCAAATTCAAAGACAACCCACCATTATCGTATTGTTTTTTATCATACAAACCAGAATGTAAAGCTTTCTGAAATCACTCAGTTGACAAAATACAACGATCAAGGAGAAATCGAGTTTTGTTTACCAAATGTTAGTTGTCCATGTCTTCGTAGGAATCTTAACAAAGTGCATCCAATCTCGTTTAAGGAATTTTATGTTGTGCCGTATTTTTCCAAGCTTAAAATTTTCAAAACTGATCATCTTTGGAGACCTTCATTTATCTTTGAGAAATTTAAAATTAAATGTTGTTGTTTTCACCGGATGGATCTTTTTGGCTGCTTTCGCTGTTGGTGACCACGTCAACATTCGTATTTGGAGCATTGAACGTTGCACTATTATTCAAACTGTACCAATGCAACTGAAGAATGCATGGGGATGTTGGTGGTCAGATGGTTTACTGTGTATATGGGATGGTTCTGATCATCTTTTGAAGATATCCACTTCCTCTGAAAATTTTGTAGATTCATCTCAAGCAAAGCAAGTTAACTTTGGATTTGAACCTAAGAAAATCTTAACATTTGGTGATGTCTTAGTTTGTCAAGACCATAAAGGTTTTGTTCAAGTTGTTAGAATTACCAAGGGTGAGATAAAATACAACAAAAGACTTCCTGTCGACAGTTTTGAATTGAAAGCAGCAGCTGTATCACCTGATAATTCTGTTATTTTAACTGTAAACAAAACAGAATACACATTATGGGAATGGGGAAATAACAACAATGAACTTTACTTAAAACCTTGGCATACTGCAGAAATACCCATAACAGCTGTCATTGAAAAATTTGTTTGGAAACAGATAACTGAAAATGATCTAGAGTTCAACTGCTGTATAAGTGATAGTAAACAAGCAGTCATAACATTTTGCAAAGGCATCAGATGTAAGGGCATTTATGTAATTAATGTTCACGAGAATGGTGATGTGAATGAGATTTTGCATGATGTCGGGAAACTATATTTGGAATCTAACCTAGTTGTACACAAATCTTATTGCATTGTAGTGTCTTTTGAGTCATTGCGTGCTGTAGATTTAAAGAGTGGTAAAGTATGCGCTAAATTTCGCGAAGGAGATTATTTCATGCCTAATATAACTATGCATTCCAACACAGGAACTTTAGCTTTGGTTGACAATATAGATTGCCGAATTCACTTTTTAAAACTTAATGTTCCTGAATAAATACATCAACTCAAACTTTAATAGTAAATTCAAAAAGCTGTTGAGAAAATTGAACATAGATGTTGATGGTTGTAAGGATGATTGCTTGTTTCCACCTACTATAGTCTTCTACAGAAGAAGTATACATATTCTACCAGGCAATCTTTAAAAAATTATCTATATTTACCAGAAATAAATTTGGACCAATTTTGCAAAAGATCTTTTAAATTTATCGGTACTATTTTTTGGAATGTGTTACCTCCTGCTAATAAAGAATGTAAATATTATCTAAATGTCCTTCTTCATTCAAACCACTACTTTACCAACGCTACGTTGACGACTGTTTTTTTCTTTTTCATTCCTCCGATCACGTCCCTCTCTTTCTTGACTATCTGAACCGACAACACCCTGACATCACATACACAGCTGAAGTTGAACAAAACAGAAAGCTCTCATTTCTTGACATAAATATCTCTCGCACTAATGGAAAATTCACCACTTCCGTCTACCGCAAACCTACTTTCACTGGTCTCTTCACCAACTTCCACAGCTTCATCCCACTTACTTACAAAATTTCATTAGTTTCCTGCTTACTTTACCGCATCTTCAACCTTTGTTCTACTTACGAAAATTTTCATACACAACTCGAATTTAGCAGAATGTCACTCACCAAAAACGGTTTTCCTTCAAGTATAATTGACCAAATCACACGTCGCTTCCTTAACTACACCTTTGCCCCCAAACCACCTGTCTTGACTGCTCACAAAATGCCCATCTATTTTTGTCTTCCTTTCACCGGCATACACTCCCTTCAAATTCGCACACAAATCGATAGCCTTTGTGCTGCAGCCTTCCCACATATATCTGTTAAATTTGTTTTACGCCCTTCCCAACGTATCTCTTCTTTCTTCCACTTTAAGGACAAAATTCCCAAACCTATGAGATCTGGTGTAGTCTATTAATTCTAGTGTCGAAGCTGCAACGCTTCGTATGTGGTTAAAACCACAGTTCATCTACGCCCCAGGTTTTCGGAGCACTTTGGAATATCCCCCCTTACAGGCAACCAAGTTTCCCACCCTGCGTTATCAAGCATTCTCGCTCACATTAACGCAACTGGACACACCCTTAACTTAGACGACTTTAAAATAATCTCCTTTTCCAACCATACTTATGAACTCTCCATTCATGAAAGCCTTCTGATCAATAAATACAAGCCTTAACTTAATGTGCAAGGAAACTGCACTCCACTTAACCTCTTTTAATTTCTCTTTATTTTACTTCCAAACTTCCTTATCATATATCCATTTGACACCGCCTCCTTTAGTAGTAATTTAACACCTTTTTGTAAATATAATATCTTGTCTCAATATCCTATTTATTATTTTTCTGAAGATGTCTTAAGTAAAGACAAAACGTTACAATAAATTTCATTTTACAATTTGTTTTTTTTTTGTCTATTTCTATGGCTCTAATCAGAACTTTATATTGGGCATTAATTTTTATTACACGAAGTCAAAATATACTTGACTCATTATTTAGTATTGACGTCATGTAATTTGAATGATTGGAAACAATTGAGAACGCGTTGTACACCTGAGTGACCCTTCTCCATAATATTTACTCTGGGCCCTCACTTAATTTCAGAAGCGTTAAAATATTTAAATTCTTATGTGTTTACGTTAACGTCAGTCAAGTAGCATTAACTTTATAGAGATAAAATGTAAGTACTGTGTATTTACAGGCAAAGTAAGAAATGTTTATGGAAGAAATCAACAGGTCTTGTTATAATCTTTGTAATGTGAAGGATTTTACTATTTGTCACAAAATAGTTTAAATTTAGAGTGGTAAATGTGTTCATATTGAATTTTGATATCTGTACTGTATTGGTTAAATATGGAGGTTACACCATAATGGAATGTTATAAATTTATTAAAGAACATTTTATAACTTCAATCGTATGTATTAACATTTACATTGGACTATGAAAACTGACTACATTCTACAAAGATATAAAGTTATTAAAAGAACATGTACAACGTCATATGTATGTATGAACATTTACATTGGATTATGAAAACTGACTACATTCTATAAAGATGAAAAGAGGCAAATGCAGAAGAGGAGAATGAAAAAACATGACCCAGGTTTTATAGAACTTAAATGAGTTCATATGTGTTGAATTTTGTTTGAAATAATATGAAGTTATTATGAAGGATCACGGTGGTCTTTTTGCTATTTGAATACAAACAAAAGAAATCATCTTTATTTTAGGATTTTGTGACCAAATCTTTAGTTGTCAATATAAGAAACCACGTCTCGAACACGTTCAACGCGTTTAAATGTAAAAATCGTTAGAATCTCACGATTTCTTTTGTGTTTTAATGTCGTTATGCAAAGTAACGATGCATGATGTTGTGGAGTAGGTTTGGATTCATTAGACCTAAATGAATTTAGAAACTAGACTTTAATTTTGACCAAATCGTAATAGAATCTTGCAGTCATATCTTGATAA